GTAACTGAATGTTTCGATAAAAATTGAGGTACCTTATTGAAATTCCATAGCTTGAGCAGGGACTTGTTGTCAAATAAAGGGTTTACAAAAAGGCAGTCTCTGGCCGGAAGGGCAAATTGCTGACACTTGGGGACGGTGCCATCAGGGTAAACAAGCTTCTTAATAAGGTCGAAATCATGACCGCCGAGGGAATCACTGATGTAGACCGGTCCACCACAAATCACCCTGGATCCAGCATGATATTTGGCGCAAACATGGTCTGATTGGAACATGTCCCAATCTGGTTGTATGATCTCACCCATCCACAAGCTGTTATAAGCACAGTGGACCATGTGAACGCCTTGCAACCAGAAAACTCCGTTCGGATCCCCATTTGGATCTTGGAACCAGAAATCATCACCTGTTGTGAAAACAATTATAATAAAAGACATGTTTTGGTATAGTTACTGTAATCGGTGGAATCGAATGTGTGAGTTTCATACCAACTCTGCCCATGGATATCTGTTTTGTCCCCAAGAAGAAAAACTCATTGCATTGTTGCATGCTGGAGTTGATTCTGGTCCCTTTGAAGTTCTTCGACAATGATTTTCACAATCCATTCTAGTAAGCCTTGGCTAGGTTAACCCTGCCTCCGTAATCTTCGGATACGTATTCGAGAGTCTAAATCGAAAAACATAAACATATAAAATCGTTACAATGTTAGATCAGACAAATAATATAGTACTTTGAGTTTATAAAACTACTTACATGAATGACATCGACTTTTACACCGGTAAAACCGGATTTGGCAAGGTGAGAATGCATGGAGTCATAGAAGTCACCGGCTTGACTGGGATGAACTAGTCCAATCCCTCCTTCAACAATCTTATCCACGGCCAAATCCGGCATCGTACCATCAAATCCCGGAGAGACATTGCAGGGAACTACTTTGCAATCGAGATTATTTGCTCCAGGTCTAACACCACCCCAAGCACCACAAAGAGCATGCCACACCCAAATATCGTCTAAACCTTTGAATTGGGTTCTTAAATCCCTTGTAAACGCTTTCATGGCATAGTCATCAGCGTTGCAGCCAAATATTTCATGGTTTCCATTCGAAAGACCGCTTCCTTCTCCTTTAAACATATCATCCAATTCTTGTTTCAGCTTGTTCATCTTTGCTTCGAGTTCAGAAACATCTGTGTTGGAGGGCGTTGTCACAAGCCTTGACGGCATGCTCGATTTCAATAGCCTTTGTGATCAGCATCTTAGGCCTCTGTGGGTTGAATGATAAGGCGTTGGGACCCGGAAATGAGCCTCCCTTGTATTTTCTAAACTTTTCACCCTCTTCAAACTTGTAAAGCCTGGCAGTCATTTGTTCCCCTCCAAGAACAAGGTTTTTCGCATCCCGGTTCAGGTCATCGGTATCTGCATTGACACTTTGCCAGCCATCATCGATGATGATAAACCCAGGTCCGATACCGGCATCAGCGAACTCTTTGACACCCTGCCATACACTAGCGGGTTCCACGGTTAAGTAAAACGCATCCCAAGTGCACCAACCGAATTTGTCAACTATAGAAGGAAGACCCTTCCCTTCCAAGAGCTTAAAGGTGTTAAGATGAACCCTGATAGCACTAAAAGTTTCTTGCATCAAGTTGAAAGGGGTTTCATACACATGAACATAGGCTATAGAGTTGAACAACGACGACTTTACTTTACTAGAACCACTCTGAGCAAAGATCATAACATGGCCATCGTTGCCAGGCTTAAGAGCAGACCTGAAACCGCCTTCGATGATCGGTATGATCATGACATAGGACTTTATTTCAGGGACATCTAGGACTACCCACTGGGTTTCCATTTGAAAATCAGATCCTGAAGTCCCCACCCATTGTGTAGACCACCATGTTTTGAACCTAAATATACTTAGAAAGTTCCTGCCGGTGAAACTCTAGGAAGCACGGGGACGGCAAACTTGTGCCGTTTCAAATACCCGATACGTCCCCGGTACGGGAACGACACGGGGACGGCTGAGGTACGTATCGAGGACGTTCCACGGTGGCAGGGTACGGCTGAACGGCGTCGGGGACGTTTCGGAGACGGCATGTGACTTTCACATGCGTCCCCAGGATATTTTCGTCATTTTGCATTAAGAAAACAACGGGAACAGCATAACCTAATTGGAGGCTGCAGCTTTCGACAATAATCCAACTTTTCTATTGGAGCTTCGGCAGCAATTGTTTCTGCTTCTTGAGCTTTTCGACAGCAATCGGCAGCAACCGGCAGCAACATGTGAGTTTCTTCATTGCATTGAACATCATTTCGTTGTATTTGGCAAAAATGGTTCTCAAAATGGAATATTAATTTCATATGCCTTGGAGATGTTAAATCTTTCTTTTTGTCCTGGTTCGGTTATCCCTTCTTTAATTTTAGCCTGAGTTTGTGGAACATTGCGCTCTTTGGGTTTATGTGGTCGATTTGATTGTGGATGAACGATTCCATTTTTAATAAGAAAATCTTTGGAGTTGACCAGATTTTTGAGTCGGTTATGAAAAGAATTTCATTTTGGTGTGTTTTTGGCTAAATTATTGCTTCTTTACCCTGGATTTCTATAGGTCTGTTAACGAGATTATTACTTTGAATTAGTTCTTTTTTGTCTGAGTTATTGCTTGGAGAGATTGATGTGCTTTAATTGTTGGGCGTTCTTATTGTTGTGAATTTGTGTTGGTTCAAGTTTGTTATTTATTATTGTTTTGTTTTTTCCTAGATTTGCATTAGCCTGGCGTTCCTTTGCTTTAGTATTCGATCTATTCTTGGGAGTGGACAGAAAGGCTTTGGCAGGAAGGGATCGTTCATTGTTGTAGTGTGTTTCAGTAGATCTATTTGTTGTAAATTCCTATGGATCTGCATTTGAGATTAACCATTATGTTTTTACATAACTGCCCCATTATGTTTGATTTGAGTTTAATATTATGGTTTGAGTTTTAAGATTTAACACTTTAATATTATGATTTTATTATGAATTTCATTATTCCAGAGTTAATATTATGGTTTGAATTTTGAAATTTGACATTTTAATATCGTGGCTTGTTTATAGATTTTATTGTTCTAAACTTAATATTGTTGTTTGACTCTTGATATTTGACTTTATTTATAATTGTTTTATATATATTTTATAATTTTAAAAATTACCGTTTCTCGTCCCCGTCTCCGTATCCGTCCCCGTATCCGTATCAGTGCAACCTAGGTGAAACTACCCAAAGAGTTCAACATACTATCAGAAGGCTCATCCTGGCTGAACCCTAGGAACCCACCTTTGTGTGACAGAGCCTGGACTCGTTGAACCAGTGGAACCGGTGCATCGGACTCGGATGCGTTACAGACCGAGGAAAATGGTGTGAAAGTGACATTGCTAGGAACATCATGTAGTAAAGGAATGCCTTTGACACTCAACTTTCCATCACACAGATCAAAGCACTTGTCCAAACTACTAGACCGAAGAAGATTGGCAATGGAATTACCAGGGTTGTTTGGCGGTGCCATGACAAAACAAAACGATCGAAACACTCAAAAAGGATAAATGAAGTTTAGGGTTTGGATGTCAATATGGGTAACAAGAGACAGATTTTATACAGAAAGGAGCCACATTTTTTTTTTTTGGAATTTGAACCCCAAAAGAATTAGTTTCTGCAAATTAAGGCTAATGATCCTCTGAAATGAATAAGGAAGGCGAGATATTTACGAAGGATTAATGTACAAGGAAAAGATTACAAAGAACAGTTCATGGCAGTTGATGAGATAAAAAGGAAAGATTTTTCTTCAGGAGAGATGTTTGTTCGAACACAAAAGAGAATGGTGGTGAGCTGGTTTAGGCTATGCACGTATATATAGATTAAAAAAAAATTTGTTGGACGGTTGAGTCAGTTGTTTCTGCTAACTTCTATGTGTTGTTTAACATTTGATGGATGCATGATGATGATACATGTAGAATGCATGGATGTATGCATGTATAGTATATGCCAAAGGAAATGATGACGCGAGGATGCGCGCTTGGGACAATTTGGACCCAAATTAAAATCACTCACTCTCGTTGCATTAAAATCAACAGCGACGCTTCCTTCATCATCAATAACCACAAATAAATCAGAATTGTGGTGGTTGTTGCTCGTAAGTCGTAAAAATGATGTGGTTATCGTCGATGGAATCAATACATAAATACATGCTTCAATGCACAAGAATAGTCTTTTTCTCACCGAAATGCATGCTTCACTGCACAAAGAAAATTAAACATCGTAACATCTGGTTTCTTTTCTTGCAAGCAAATCCACTACATCAGTGTCACCAAAAGTTCTTTTAGTGCGTCACCATTAAATAAATTAAATTAAAAGGAGCAACTTAGAAAATTTCCCCTTTTAAAGGATAAAATTGAATTTGGTCATCCAAAATCCATGTCTGTGGATTAATTGCTGAAATTTGGCGTTAATAACTTATAAAAATGAATCTTTTTTATGGGCTCACTGCTGAATTTTAAGAAATAAAAGTGTCTATTAGGTACCCCAATTTGAAGACACTAATGGGCTTTTACTAAATAGAATGTATCGATCTGACCTGGTAATCGAGGCTTACGGCTTTATTTGCTAACCATTGGGCATTTTCCGGTTTGGGCTACTTCAAATATCCATAGAATTTAAGTAATACCAACTAATATTTTAATTTGGGAATTAAATAAAAAAAAACAGTTAACCCTCCATACGATTATATGGCAATAAAATTAAGAAATACCAACTAATATACCTTTTATAATGTATATTTTAATTTGGAAATTAAATAAAAACAGCAGTTAATGAGACAATAATTTTCATTTATCCTCCATACGATTTTATGGCAATAAAATTAAGTAATACCAACTAATACATGTCAGTTACTTTGGTTTTTGACTGTTCACTGGTGGGAACTTCCATGTGTACTGGCAGAACCAGATATCAAATTCATTTCTTTATAGATATCATCCACAGAAGATGCAGTGCCTCTTTGCATTCGTTTTGATCCTGTTGTTGCTTTGTTTCGGTTTCTGTGAGTCTTTCGAATGCAAATCTGGTGCTGGACATCGATCTGGGGTCGCTTATACCATCTGGGTGGATCAATCTGGCAAAGGAGAGTTCAAATCTGTTCAACAAGCTATTGATTCAGTCCCTTGTAACAACAATAAGTGGATACGTATCTATATTTCTCCGGGGATCTTCAGGTCCTACATAAGCTCATGCATGTAATTAAATATGAAAGATGTGTACGTATGTATGTATGATTTGTCTTGTGTTGTTGGTATAGGGAGAAAGTTACAATTCCTGCTGATAAGCCTTGCATTTTCTTGGAAGGATCCGGGAGCCGATTAACCATTATTGAATGGGATGATCATAAGTGTACCAGTGACAGTGCTACTTTCTCCTCGTATCCTGATAACATTGTTGCAAAAGGCATTTCTTTCAAGGTATAGAGTTGTTTTTTGATCCAATTATGGTTTTGGTCTTTCTAGTTTATATGTTAATCTAGTTTATATGAACAGAATATCTACAACATACCACCGGTTGTACTAGAAGGGAAGAACTCGGTGGTGCCGGCTCTAGCGGCAAGAATATACGGGGACAAATCAGCGTTTTATAGCTGTGGTTTCTTCGGGTTGCAAGATACATTATGGGACGTAGAAGGCCGCCATTACTTCTACGGTTGCTACATCGAAGGTGGTATAGATTTTATATTCGGGAGTGGCCAATCGATCTATGAGGTATGTATCATGTAATATGTTTGTTAGTTTCATGAGAAAATGAGATTGGGTTTTACGAGTAAGATGTTGTAATTCTGCAGAGTTGTCAAGTAAATTTCACGTTGGGAAAATATGCACCCCAGTATCCCGAGGGTTACATAACGGCACAGGGAAGGAGTTCATCGGATGATCCAAGCGGTTTTGTGTTTAAAACTTGTGCTTTTGTAGGGACTGGTAAAACGTACCTGGGAAGAGCATATGGGGCTTACTCTAGAGTGATTATATACAGGTCAATGATGTCGGATATAATTGTTCCTTCTGGTTGGGATGCTTGGGACTATGTTCACCAAGAGTACGTCATTCCATTATTGATAAAGAAGGACAATGTTCGCAAGTTAATTTGGTTTACGTAGAATTTAAATGACAATGTTTGCAGGGGAAATTTGGTGTACGAGGAGGCTAATTGCAGGGGAGCAGGGGCCAACACTTCGGGGCGAGTGCCTTGGATGAAAAAACTCGGTGCTTCGCAGCTCCATCAATTTGTGAGGAGATCATATATTGATAAAGAAGGATGGATTGATAAACTGCCGATCAAGTCCTAACCAACAATTAAAGGCTTAGAGATTTGCAAGTGTTTTGGCCATTGACCATTAAGTTGTAATAATATTATTATCAAAGAATAACATTTGAATTTAGATTTTTTTTCCAAACTATATAAGACCGTTGATCCTTTATTCCATTATTATAACGACGTGTTACAACATGCATAAGTAGGAGCTCTAACCTTTCAAAACTTTGGAGCTTTATAATTAGGATCCACCACCTTCAACACCTACACCACCACCTCCACCATGTCCTCCTCCATCTCCACCACCATCTCCTGCATCGCTACCAACTCCACCATGTCCACCTCCACTACCCCCCACCTCTTTCTCCACCTCCAATTCCGCCACCCCAACCCCACCACTTCTTCCAACCTACACCACCATTGCCACCAACTCCAACACCTCCTCCTACACCGCCACTATCCCCTACACCACCTCTTCCTCCACCACCACCACCAACTCCAACACCTCATTCTGCATCAGCACCACCTCCAACACCAATCCCAACATCACCACCAGCACCACCATCACCATCAACGCCAACTCCAACACCTCCTCTTGCACCGCTAACAACCTCGGTACTATCTCCACTTCCTTCACCGTTACCCTCAGCACCTCCGACTCCTCTGTCGAGCTCACCACCACCCTTTCCAAAGCAATGATCAATACGGCGACCCTTCTTTTGAACAAAGTAACAATACACACTCTTTGTTCGTCCCGAATCAGCCATTCCCACTAATATCAACGCAAGAAATACCGTAAAGACATGCATTTCAACATTTCCAAAAACTTCCCCATGGTTTCCATCTTATGAGAAACGACGCTTCAAGGTCTATAGTATACACGATGCGATGCTTGTAGTTCCATTCCATGCTTCATAGAATACACTATTTATAGTAAAGGGTTTAACCTCTAACGATAATGAGGTCGAAACGAAAGTAAAACACATGAAAAGGATAGAGCGTCCATTGTTTTAGTTGAAAAGAATGTGAAGGGAACTGAAACTTTCATTTAATCAATTTTAATTTTTATATATTTTTTAAAATTTAAAATTTTAATTATACTATATTAACTTAAAATTATCCAACAAGAAAATATTAACTCAATTTATTGCTAATAGTTGGATATTCAGACTCTTCCTTCACATCATTAGCATGCAATTTTCGACTGAATAATGCATGAACACTGGTTTTTTCAATAGTGTCAAATGGAACAATTTAATTTAACTGTCCCCTTCATTTTCCTCAGCAACCTCAATGAACCTTTTGGTGTAACACAAACCAAAATATACAATGTTAAAATATTGAACTAAAATAACAAATTTTAATATAATAGAAGGACCAAAATCATACATTAATAAAATTATTTCGACTTTTCATTTACAAATTAAGTCAAAAAGAAAATAGATTATAAGTTCATCTACTCGATGTTGAATTGTGCTGAAATATATATGAGATAAGCATATTTTCTACAACATAGCACCAGGAATCTGGAGAAACTGACACTAGCAGCTAGAATATACGGGGACAGCTCGACATTTTATAACTGTGGTTGCAAGATACGTTATTATGGGACAAGATCACCATTAGTTCTAGGGTTGCTATCAATTACGGGGAATAAATGCAATTCATTTATTTCAATTTTCAACTATCTTTAAAATTGAAAAGAAATATAAAAACCATGCACGTCATGACGTAGAGAGAATATTTGTGTGAAAACATCTGATTCAATGGATGGAAATTTGATGATCCTTTATTCCATAATTACAATATTATTACAACAACGATAATACACGTTTTACTAGGCTTATAAGTGATGACATTAACAAATGTAGATATGCATGAGTACACGCTATGACTCATTTTTCATCTCCTTACTTTTCAATATTTTTTACCTTTAAATTAGGATCCACCTTGAATTTCACATTTTACTCTATGGCTAGCTCCACCTTTCATACCTTTTCTTCCATCAATATTTGCATTACCTCTAGCGTTTCCTCCTACACCACCTCCAGCACCAGCTTCGGCACCAACACCCACACCAACTCTAGCACTTATACTACCACCGACACCAACTCCTGCATAGGGATGGCAAACGGGCGGGTCGGGTGCGGATACCCCCTCCCCCATCCCCATATCCACCTAATATTTTTCAATTCACCACCCGCCCACCACTCATGATGGGTACAAATTTTCAAATTCACACCCGCCCACGCGGGTACATTCTCAAATTCATCCCCACACCCACTACCCACTAGCGACGTACCCGTCTAGACCCGCCTGACAGCAAACTTAAGTTATACATAAGCAACAAACATAAAAAAAATGTCCATTAAGAAACATAATAAAATAATTCAATGATTATCTAAGTTAAGTGTTAATATAGATCTTAAAATACATAAAACACCATAATAAAGGACATAATTAAAGTCTAGAAACATAAATGACAAACACATAATGTTTTTGTTCTTTGACACAACATTATAAAATTTCAGGCAATATTTGTGACATATAATACTCCAGTATTACAATCATCATTCTCTATTTCCTCCAACTGAGAGCGCTCTAATTTAAATTCACTACTACCTACATATATAATAGAAAGTAAAACTAATATAAGTTAGTAACTAAACTTTAATAAGATAATTAAGTACAATTTGACAACTAATATAAACTAAATAATAATATTACCTTTAATATCGGCCCAAAGCCAATTTTGAGCATACATTAATGCTTCAAACGTCTCCGGAAGTAGTCGACTACGATAAGGACCAATTACTCTTCCACCTATACTGAATGCAGATTTTGATGGGACAGTGGAGACAGGAATGCCCAAAATATCATTTGCTATTTGTTGGAGAGTTGGATAAATTACATGTTATATCTTATACAATATTAGAATTTATAAATTAGTCTCTAAAATTACACCTAAATTCATAATGGTCCAAAATTTAATGGATATTTAGCTGGGCGGGCGGATGTGGGGCGAGCGGATGCGGGGGGGGGGGGCGGATGCGGGGCGGGTAATGTCTCAAACCCATTACCCGCCCACCACCCGCGATGGGTACCACTTTCTAAATCCACACCCGCCCACTACCCGCCCCAATTGGAGCGGATGCGATGCGGAATCCACGAAACTGTACCCGTTTGCCATCCCTACTCCTGCACCTCCTCCTGCACTACCACCAGTTCTAGCTCCAACGCCACCACCTCCACCAGCCCCAACACCTCCTCCTGCACCACCACCAGCTCCGACACCTCCTCCAACACCAACACCACCGCCGACACCAACTCTAGGACCACCTCCTGCCCCAGCACCAACGCCACCACCTCCACCAGCCCCAACTCCTCCTCCTGCACCACCACCAGCCCCAGCACCACCTCCAACCCCTGCACCACTTCCGGCATCAACTCCTCCACCACCACCAACGCCAACACCACCTCCACCACGTCCTCCTCCAGCACCACCACCGACACCACCGACACCACCACCGACACCAACTCCACCTCCTGTACCACCACCAGCGCCAACACCACCTCCACCACATCCTCCTCCACCACCAGCTCCAACACCACCTCCACCACCTACACCACCACCGACACCAACTCCACCTCCTGCACCACCACCAGCTCCAACACCACTTCCAGTATCTACACCACCACCCACACCGACTCCAACTCCTCCTCCTGTACCCACACCACCTCCACCACGTCCTCCTCCACCACTGCCACCACCAGCACCACCTCCACCTCCACCACGTCCGCCTCGTCCACCGCTACCACCAACCCCAACACCACCTCCAGCACCTACACCTCCTACGCCAATCCCGACACCACCACCACCAGCGCCTACACCACTACCCACGCCAACTCCAGCCCCTCTTCCAGCACCAACTCCACCTCCACCACCTCCGCCAACTCCACCCCCTACACCACCACCGGCTCCACCACTACCACCGAATCCACCACCGCCGGCACCTCCACCTCCAACAATACCACCAAATCCACCATCGCCACCTCCACCAACTCCATCACTACCACCGAACCCACCACCACTACCACCTCCACCAACTCCACCACTACCACCTCCACCGCTACCACCAAACCCACCACCTCCGCCAAAGTCACCACCGCCCATACCACCTCCACCACCGCCCTTTCCAAAGCAATGATCAACATGGCGACCATTCTTTTCAATAGAGTAACAATACTTTGCATTGTCTATTCGTCGCCCTTCAACAATTCCTATTAATATTACCGCCAAAAATACCACCACGGCATGCATTTCAACGTTTCCTAAAAACTTCCCCATGGTTTCTTTTGAAAGGACGCTTTTGAAATAGAGAGAAACATTCAAGTTATATGGTATACAAGATGCTTGTAAGTTGCAATTCCATGGCGCATAGCATAGGCTATTTATAGTAAAGGGTCAGTGGATCTTCTACCCTTAACGATAATGAGATGGAATCATTTAAACTAAAGTCAAAAGCATGAAAACGATAGAGTTGAAACTCGAAAAGCCATAGCGCTATTCCCATTTCATAACGTGGCGTGTCAACAAAAGGTCGCTGGTTACGAGTCCAATGTTTAGTTGAAAAGAATTTGAAGGGAATTGAAACTCCTAAGGCTCTATCAACTTAAGCAGTGAAAAGGAGAGATTAAGTGGAAAATACGTGCCGATACTAATAGGGTTACAGACCCGCCAAGGTGTATCCCATAAACGGTAGAGAAAGTAAGTATCGGGAAATTAGTAGCTAAACTCTCAACGCGTAGAAGCGGTTGTAACATCAAACCCCACTTAGTTTGCCTTATTTGGGTTGGTAAAATCTAAGAACAATCTAGTCTATAGGCTCCCAATATTTATTAATCACACATTTGTCAGTGCTAGGAGAGGTTTACTGGTCGCAGGCCAGTGTTCATATTTGGGCATTCGACACTTTAGCTGATGATGAAGGATAGTAACTAAAATGGCGAGATCTGGTTTCAAACAAGCACAGGTTACGTACAGATATCCTACCTGTTAGTCGCAGGCCTATGTCTCGGAGCACGAGGTGAAGTTGCCGGAAAATGATCTGCAAAGTGTTGTTAAATGGGAAAAAAAGAACTGTCAAACTCTATTCACTTCACCATGTTTGCGGATTAAATGAACACACTGCCAATGGAATTCCTTTTTGCTATATACTATTACCAAATCACAGAAAGTTTACTATATTAAAGAAATGCACGCCTCTGTTAGTAGAGATTTTTTTATATAAAAAAATGGTTTAGTGTGAGAAATGGCCTTTAATGTCGGCCACTGTTATCAATTATCATATTTTTTGCTCACTAACTCAAGTTGGAAACCACCCTTTGTCCAGCTGTTGAACCAGAAACTATGGGGTACATGCATGGGTCATTGATAATTGAAATCTTGGTCTTTCTATAATCCATAAGATCACAGCTTTGGGCTTGGTCAAAGAAAATTTTAACTTGGGTCAATCTCACTAGACCCAAATTTAAATTAATCACTACATTTTTAAAATTTCTAATTTAATTATAAAAATATTAATACAAAATATATTTTAAATATTTTACACATACACTTACAACAAGACGAGTCGAGCTGAATTGGTACAACAAAATTCAAGTTAACAGCTCAAATCATGAGCAGATGACACGTCAGTGAGCTTCAAATATTGCATCGAGATATGTATGCCACTTATGGAACAATTTGTACAACTGCTACAAAGGAAGTGTTTGTAAATTTGAGATTTCTTCAAACCTAGTGTTTTTGGGTTGAGTTCTATCATCGTGAAGCAGAAGCAACTTTAGGGTACCGGATTCTCTTAACCATGCAGCAACCACAGGACCGGTTGATATGAATCTACCTAAATTACACTTTGGAAGCTGAAACGGTGCGCCATTGCCGGCCGGCAGTGCCTTGATAGCTAACTTTAGGGCACCATCACCAACTACTTTGCTATGTTTGCCCCAACCTGTCAAAATCCTGGACGAAGGAAGTAGATGTTTTATTTTTGGAACGAGATTGTATGAGGAACATGTTAACCAACACCATTAAATGCAAAACGGATTTGTTACCTAACAGTTTTGGCGATTCATGGCCTTCGAAAACAATAGACCGCATGTTTAGCAACCATGCATCATTGCTTGAGCAGCACCAGAGGACATAAGATGCAAATCTAAGCAAGAATTAGACCATACATTCTCCCATACTTGCCCACGTTTCCCTTCAAGCACAACCAGTTGGGCTCCCTGTTTCTGTAAAGTAACATTTCAACAATGTCAAGCTTTTCAATTATAAAGATAACATGCAACAGGCAATATAGTGAAACACGCGCAAGAGAAAGAGAGAGAGAGAAGTGTATTGAACTAGAGAAGCAACTGAATTACGAAAGCTAACCTGACCGAAGTGCCACAGCATGTCAGTCAGGGCATTATATAAGGCAGAAGCAGTTGGAGAGTCCATCAACTTCACTTCATTGAAAAGTGATTGAGCTTGGATCCAAACATTCTCCCTATAACCCACGAGAAGCCCATGGGCAACACCTGATTATCAAACAGCTGGAGCTCTTCCAACAACATCGAAGCATCCTCGAACGAATCACAGCGGCTGCATCCAATCCAATACATAGTAATGATCGTCCATGTTTTTCCAGATAAAGATGGTTAAAATATAATATTATAAAGTCCCACTGTTTGCAAATCAGATAAACCTTGCCACATCAAGTAAATTTCAGGGCCTGAATTACAGTGTGCTTGATTTGTTCAACTCCAAGTGGATAATGAGTAAGCTCATGTGCAGACAACGTCATTTTCTTGAAAAGCTAGAACTTATGCAGTTATCATAGAGTATATGTACCACTCATGCATTAATACAGGCAAGGACATTTCTGTCTCGAGACTTTAGAAATAATCAAATGAGCTAGCTGATACCTAGCGAAGGAATGTTAAACACAAGTACGACATCAAGAAAAGGAACCTTGACAATTTAGTTCCAAGTCATCGCATCAAATAAAAGAATCACATGCAGAAAATTTCAAAACTCAGTGGAGCTATAAAGAAACAGGACTTCGGTACTGTTGCACCAAACTCCACATTTTCCACCTAACAGGATACGGAAAACAATTGAAAACATAGGAAAAGTAATAACAATACCTGCAAGCATTTTAAGATAGCTGAAAAGGTGACGACATTTGGTTTAATTTCTAACTCATGCATCTTCTGGAAAACTCTCAAGATGCACAAGATTTCCTGCTTGCCTCCACAACCTTTCTTTGCTTGACCTCCTTTTTCAGCTGTCAGCTGTCCAAAAAATTTTATGATCTGGCTATCCGCCCCATCTGTCGCATAGTCTTCAATACCACTTCAATGACCAACGAAGAAGTGTCAGTTTGCAACTCACTGATCTCACCAGCATCAAACACACGTTCTGAAATCGCAGACCGTCCAAAAGCATCAGCGATAGAATTGTATGCAACAACATTAGGCCTAATCCCTTCATTTGTCATCTCGTCAAGCAAGGACACAGCAGATTCGACCAACCCATTCTTGCACAAAACATCAATTAATGCACTATATAGCACAACATCAGCCTTCAATCCTGCTCGCTTAAACTCTCTAAAGGCATCCATTGCCTCATATAAACCACCCTTGGAATACACATCAATCACAGTGGAGTAAGTCAATAAATCAGGTGACACCCTTTGTGCTTTCATTCGTCAAACAGTCTTCTAACCTCAGCGTACTTCCCTTGTTTCCCATATCCACCCAAAAGTGCATTGTAAGTCACAACATCCTTCCTGATCCCTGAACCCTCCATCTCCCTGCAAATATCTAAAGCCTCCTCAAACCTACCGAGCTTTGCATAAATAGAAAGCAACGTATTATAAGAAACTCTATCCAAACCAATACCCAAAAATTTCATTTCATTAAACAAATCGAGTGCATTATCAAATCGACCAGCCTTCGCATGCCCGTCAATCATAGTACTATATGTAATAACATTAGGGAAAATATTTTTCATAGGCATTTCTGCCATAATCTCGAAAGCCAAATCCATTTGTCTACCTTTGCAAATCGCATCCAAAAGTGTATTATAAGTGAAAATATCTCGATCGATTCCTCTATTAACCATCTCGCTAAACAAATTCCTTGCCGCCTCCCATAAACCCCCTCTACTACAGACCGCCAGCAACGAATTAAAGGTTATTCGATCTGGTTGCACTCCATCACTTACCATCTCATCAAAAATCCCCACAACCCTTTTGAACGCTACACCTCCTTTCCCACAAGCATCAATCACAGCGTTATAAGTAACTGAATTTGGCTTCAACCCATACCTTTTCATAGAATCGAAAACCTTTATGGCATCATCATAACACCCATTTCTCCCATAAGCACTAATTAGAGCTGAGAAAGCATAAACAATATTTCCATAACCTTCTCTTAATGCAGTCTCGAAAATACCATTGGCAAGTTTAACTTTCCCTAATCTACCAAGAATACTAATCATATCACTAGCTAAATTCCCTTGTTCATTTCTTCTTCTCTCTCATCCAACAGCGAATTGAAAACACTTAATTGCTTTTTCATACTCACCTCTGTTCCCATGCTCTCGAAGCAAGAAATTGTAGTCATCGGAGCCGCAAAGCTTAGACTCCAACAAGACGAGAACGCTTTCGATTCCAGCTTGGTCACTATGTAAGGCGAGTTGAAGGACTTCTTCAGCTACAGGACTATGGCGGGTTTTGACGGTGATCTTGGGCCAACCCAAATGCATTTTGGAGACGAATCTAGTCGACCGGCGGCCTGAGAAATCAGGAGCGAGGGAAGGGAAAGGGTTGGGTGTCTGAGAGACGGTAGCACGGGTGGAGGAGGAAGCGGCAGCGGCGGCGTGTTTCGTTGCATTGGAAGATGAAGTAGGTGGCTTGAAGAAGGAGAAATTCCAGGGATGAGTTTGATTTCGGTGATTGTGGTGGTGGTTACGGTGGTTTTTGAATTGGTTTTGCGGGTAATGATGGTTTTGATAAGGCTTTGTTGTAGCTGTGATCGAACAATGCGGCGGCGTTGAAGCCATTCAACAACTCTTGGCCTAAAATAAAAGGCTGAGGGCGACGGTACACGACATAGTGAGGGAGTAAGTGATGCTAGAAAGTGTTTCTATAGGTTTTGAAAACACGGGTAAGAGAGGAGTGACAGTGAGATGCCATTGCTGAGAAAGAAACGGCCGAAGAGTGAAGAAGAAAGTTTGAGTTTTTCTCTAAAATCTAAAGGATAAGATAGAGAGAGAGAGAGAGAGAGAGAAAGCTGAGTGCTTTGTTACTTCGTTGGTTGAGACATTGATTTCAGGGGCACACTCGTGTCACTACTGTTGTCCTTTTGCTTTTACACACTTACCAAATGCTTACCACACACGTGCAACTGATACATGAAAATTGTACTGCTAGTTTAAACATTTACAAGTACAATGAAATTGAGCGATATAAGCAACGAATTAACTGTCGTTTAGTGCTGATTTTGTTTCATTAAGCGGCTAAGGAATGTAATAATTCCAGAAGGACTTGTAAAAACAAGCAACAAAAACCGAAAACAGCTGCTTCAGTAACGAAATTTCTTGCTCGACAATGGATCGGGTCCTCCTGCTATCGTTCTCGGTCTTGGGGTTGGGGCTAACCAGACGGGTCACCTCGCACGAGGAGTTGGGAGATTGGAGTTGTGAGTCTAACGAGGACCACGAGTACAGAGATGGAAAAATGATAGTGAAGGTAATACCCTCTATTTGAGGGGAGAAAATAGTGATGGAGGAGCTCTGATGCAATGTTTTTTGTGGGATTGTCTTAGGTATTACATGACGGAAATAGCGTTTTCTTCTTGTTGCAAGTTGATGGGAACTATGCTTACTCCAAAGGGTATGCTTCTCTAGAACTATGCCCAAAAGATGTTCGTCATTTTGTCCCTGTTTCAGATATCCTATAAAGCTGGATAGCTAGTGTCTTACACAAATAGTTCCAAAAAGAAGAAGTTCGTTAAATTATATGCTTCATGAGACTATTATCCATGGCATTCCGAATTGGTTTACTTTGTTTTTTATGTTGTCACTCGCCGCAAGCTGGCTTATCTATGTTAAAAGCCTTGTGAAGTTTTTTGAACATCATGCAGGGACAGCAGCAAATGCCCATCTATAGCACTCATGTTTCGAATCGGCGACGGTGCTACCTATCATAATGTAAATTATTCGATCCAACTGTTGTTCTATGTTCATCTTACTTTGGTGCTCTTTGTTAGCTTCTCTCCTTGATCCAAGGAGGAAAGTTGAGAAAGCTTTATTGTGGTGCAAGATGGGTGGCTTCAAAGAACAAAGTGGATCTTGCACCAAGAAGACTTGCAAAGGCCATGAAGTTGACATTATGCACTTCTCCATCGGAAGTGCTGTACCTGGGCGGCTTTATGGTGGCAACCTGATTGGTAACACAAATGGAACTGGAGGTGACAGGTAATGTAGTACAACATAAGTTGTCGTACAAATGTATTTTAAGCTATCATAATAGTGAATGAAATACTCTTTTTGCTGACAGCTTTGGTCATTTGGTTGATGTATATGCTTGGAACCCACATTGTAGATACCTTGATGGAATGGGTCCTGCTGGTAAATACTAAGATCCTTTAATCTTAGTGGCCTGTTTTTTTTTTGAGATGAAAACGATGGACCTTGCTTTTAGGATGGCAAAGCAAAGTGGGAATAGGCACTAAAGAAAGTGACTACAGGGGGCCATCAATGTGTCATAGAATGAAGACTACTCCATAAGTCAATACTTAGAACGCTTGCTTAATGGATGTGTCACTCACTAGAAGGAACTTTTTGAAGATCTTCAAGCGTCAATCACTTCTTTAATGACACTAAATATTCGAGATGGCACATCGACTGATTGACTATGCTTGGTGATATACCTCAATAGTCGATTTGGGCTTCGTGCTATACCTCGATCCTTTGTCTCCCATTCACCCGACCCCTTTCTCGTTAGAAGGATACCGGTTGTAGTATAGTTTTTGTTTCCCCATTGTTTAGATTAATAAGATTTACGTTCTTCATTCTCAGGAAATGATTCTAGTGCTCAGAATAACTGGAAAGGAGCATGGTGGCACAGTAGTTTCATAGATAATTCAGGTAATTAAACTGTTGTGATTATAAGCTAAAGGAGTACATTTTTCTCCCCCGTATCATAAGTTTAAAAACCAGTTCAGATGTACTGATTCATTGCTGCCTGTCGTTTTTCATTAGAAACTTAGTTTATCTGGTGCACTTTTAATAGGTTTCGTGGAGGAAGACAATCCTTATTCAACCGGAGGTCAGACGGGAACTTATTATTTCGGATTCACTCGGCCTTTGAGAACCATGGATCGTTTACAACAGATTAAATAACATTCTTCTCTCTTTGGCCTTTTAGTCTATTTGCTTCCGGTTGGTTTTTTATTTGTATTAGATTTTAACCTTGCAACAGCGTGGCACAAGTAAAGTCTCTGTTTGAGTTGCAGGATATTCAGTTCACAATCGATGGATTGAGCAAGATGTCGGTTGCATTCTGGTATCCGGTCGACGGGAACTCGTGGGTTGGATCCGGACATTATACTATCAACTGTGATTGGGTGCCATTGTACATTGCTTCAGGTGGTTCTATGCTAACCGAGTCAGCACCTAGCAGTACCTCGGATGCGACCAGCTCGTTCGCCTTTCTGTTCTCAATAGCATCTCTCTGTATAGCATTATTTGTTGCATATCAGGTTCGTAGGCCCAGCAGTATCTCATTCACACAAATAGAAAATCTTTAGATAGTGATAAAATGATCCGCCATTTTAGAGCTCGTCGAGCTTTCAGCCGGTCGGACATGCTGGAGATTGTACCATTTTAGATATAAATAAATGTTTTACTTATCTCTAATCGATGTGCTCTAAAGCATACAAGGAGGATCATTAACTTTGTTGAATCCCATTAAAAGCATACAATTTATCTAATGTAAGAATTAAGAAATGGGCAATCCAAAAGATCCATATAAAAATAAAGTTCAAATCTCTCACCTATCACCTTCGTGTCTTATGATTGAAGAGCATAAGCACATGCCAAAAGTTGGAAAATGTGACAAAAAGTTAACCCAGAACAAAATAAAGCACAAACAAGGATCCCTTGAAGAGCGGTTAACGTTTCTCTCTTTCAAACCTTTTTATTAACACTGTTTTACATTGTGCTTGATTTCTGTTACTATTATCTGATAACCGAATCGAATATTAAATTAATCGATTTTAATGGTCTGAAGCAAATAAAAATAAAGTATATCAACTCAATAAGATTAAGCTTTAACTCGGTCAATATCAAATAAAAAAGTGAGATGATAATCGATTATTGGTAGGTATAAACGACCCAAAGTCAAGGGTTAGGTGATCATATTATATGATTAGACGAGAGAAATAGAAAATTCCAGCTGACAGACAAGAATGATTTTCCATGACATGGGACCAAAAATCATTCCAGGCTCTGTAATTATAAAATATTTATACATTCCTTTGTTTCAATATAAATACAAAACAAACAACTGGATACTAGGTTCTAATTACAGTAGCTTATCATTATAAAATTTAAATGTAAACAAATTGTGTGATAAATTTATACAAAAAACGTTGTTTGGACGCCAAGAAAATGACGAAGTCCGCAAAGGGCAAAGGGTCCATCTGCTTGGGAAAATTACTATATGTTAGGTACGTAGATCTGGTTGGTGGGTATTTTCTCTTGTCAATATTTGTACATTTCGTCTTGTCTTGTCGTGTGCATCTGTGCATGCAATATGTGATTGATATATTTGTAACTCAAATTATATTTATACCATTTAGATAAAAATAAATAACATCATCAATCAAAAAGGTTAAAAATTCGATAAAACAATTTTAAAAAATAAAAATACAAATAAATATCATAATATATAATAAAAGATAAATATTATCAACATTAATATAAAAGTAAATACAACAATAATGTAGTTGGATTTTTATGTAGAAAAACAAATAAGCCAAAATGTAAAAGCAAATGGCGGTGATTGCTCAGTCGCTGTGTTGTCTTGTCCTTTGATCGAGCATGAACGGCAGGAGCAACTGTCAGTATCAATCCAACGGCTTGGATTCTGACAATTTTATGCACGTTAGGATATGAAAGTTAAAATATTTGAGAGTTATTTTAAATAGATCAAAATAAATAACGACTCAAATAATTTAAATTCGAATAAAGTTCAATCGAGTTTTAATTTTAAGATAATTAGAATTATATTTTGAATAGAGAGGTGAAATGTTTGAGAGTTATTTGAAATCGATCAAAAATAAATAACGACTCAAATAATTTAAATTCGATGAGAGTTCAATCGAGTTTTAGTTTCAAAGTAATTAGAATTATATTTTTGAATAATTAGATGTGATAATAAGGAAAAAAATTAAATTTAAGTTTTATCAAAATATTTTTAATTAATAATAATCATTTGTATTATTAAACTACTAATAAATATTACAAAATTATTAAAAAAAATTAAATAATTTAAACAAAAATGATAGATACAAAAAGGAAGTGTAGATATAGATTTCAGACTATCGAAAAAGGAAAGATAAAAAGAAAGAAAGAACTAAAGAATTAGTGAAGGAATGCAAGAAAGAATGGGTAAAATATTATTTTAAAAAGACCAAACCCCAAAACCGAAACCTTTTCTGCTACTGAGATTAACTAAAGAGAAGAGAAAGCCAAGCCAACGGTATTTGCCAGTCCCACCAACAAAATTCACAATCAACCTCCTTTTTTCTCCGTTTCAATGTTTGGGGGACTCGAGTTTGTTCCTTCTTTTCAAGCTGAAGTTCTTTGACTCGGGAACTCATTACGGCAATTTTGACTCCCAGTCATTGCGTGCGAGTTTTGGTTCCCGTGATGTTATCTTCAGCGTTGGGTCCTCAGTTGGCTGTTGCAAATAGCAAATAAGTTTGTTATTGTAGTATTCTTCTTCTTTTTTATGTGTTTGGAGGCTTTATTCTCAGTTGAAACTGTGATCTCGTCGTTGGTTCGTTGGGAAATTATCTCCAGATCTGACTTTGTCTCCGTTTACAATCAACGGCGTCCGCGATGTCAGCTTTTCTTTTTTCATATCCCAGTGGTAACTTAATTTGCTTTAGCTCTTCCTGTTTATTTGATTTTGCTTGTCATCTGTGTATAGAAATTTAAGTATACTCAGATTTCCAAATTTGGTTGGTTGAAAAAAAAAATGATAACTTAGAACAAGCTTAATCCTTATTTTTCATTTTTTTAGCTGAAGATTTGAATTAAGCTCTATTCAGGTATAAATTTAGATTTTTTTTAAAAAAACTTTTTTTTTTTGCACAATTTGGGACCAGTGATGTAAAAGGAAAGATATCAATTGACTCTTATAAATCACTCATTTAGGTTTAGCTCAAAACTTATTACTTGAATGATAATTCAGAGAACTTCTTCCCTTTCTCCTTAAAAGAAAGGAAATTGATAAGAGACTGTGAATTGAATTGCCTACCATTTTTTTCCCATGCTATATCACTGCGTTTTAGATAAATATGGAGGAAAATAAGAGCCTTTTAAGATCGAGAGAGAAAAGAATCATCTAAACTCCTTTCACAAAAACCAGTAGTAGAAGACTGCACAGGTTTATGAAAGAAAGAAATTGATTATTTTCGCAGTGAAAGAGGTATTCTTGCATTTGAGTGTATTTAATTTATATCTTGTACGGTCTGTCACGATTGCGATTTAGACATTGTTTTTCTTTTAACATTGTTATAGCTTTTTCTCCTTCTGTGATTGAGTTTTATTCTTAATATAATAAATTAACAGGAGCATTGGGAAATATCTGTTCATTTTTTGTGAAAGTTGTAGCTGTTGTGAGTTGTGCAATTTTGGTCACTGGTGCTGATTTTTCAAATAATCTACTTCAAGCACCTGCACAATCGCCCACTAGAGCACACAAGGGTGCACCAGCTGTTTCTGCTCTGCCCCTACCTTCCAATCTGCCACTGATTCATAGATCCCGCCGAAGATATTTTTCACCACATAGTGCACCAACACCTGTAGGACCAGCCCAACCTCCTCTTAATGGTCCATTTATAACTTCCCGTCACCCTCCTACCAGCTCACACCTGTCAAAACCATTGATGAAGAAGAGTGCCTCAGTGCCTCATGGTACCAACTTGCCAAATATTTCCCCTACACAGATCCGCCCTGGTGAAATTCCTACCGGTTTGGCTCAACCACCATTGTCTCCTGAAGTGTCTGGTAACATATTTTCCAAAACATTTTTTTAAAACGTATTCTACTTCCTTTTTTATGTTTTCATGTATATATACTGTGTATGAGATGCTTACATGGGTATTTTTGCAATTGGCCAGATTGTTGCAAACCAAATTCAATTTTGAAACGAGGGAGTCATAGTTGCCATTGCGTGTATCCCATAAAGCTTGACCTTCTTCTTTTAAATGTCTCCCAAAACCCAAATTGGCGTGTTTTTCTAGCCGAGCTAGCTTCTCAGCTTCAATTGCTGCCTACTCAAATTGACATTACGAATTTTTATTCCATCAGTTTATCAAGATTAAATATCTCCATGGATATTACTCCACACACAGGGGTCAGTTTCTCTGCCAATGATGCATATAAAATAAACTCTTCACTTGTGATGCATAGGGTTCATTTTGACCCAAATGTAGTTGGAGATTTCAAAGTCCTTAATTTTACATGGTTTGAGGCTCCAGCGCCTTCCCCAGGTAATTATGATATGACCTCAGTTCTTCTCGTATCTAGTGGCTTTTGAAAGCTATGTTTTTCTTGATTGAAAGTAGTTTTTATACACAATGGCTTCTTGAAAACTCATAGTTTTATTTTATTTCACTTTAATTATACTTATATATACACATGTATACAAGGGATGATGTTATCTTCTTTTATTTGTCCTGACAAAGCTCAGCATGTTGTTTACAGCTCCCGTTGTGATTTCTGAACCTGTAGCTGCACCAGCACATAAATCCTCCAATTCTACACCAACAAGCCCTTCAAATAAGGGGAAACATTCAGATTTGACTCTTGTCTTTGGTATTTCTGCCGGCTTACTGGTTTTTGCTATAATATCCGTGCTTATAATTTGTTCCTGTGCCTTCCGTGGGGGAAAGGCAAAAGCATCTCCTCAAGAACCTGGTATGTTAAGTTCTCTTGCTCATGTAGGATGACCGAAAATAAATTGTGCAACTGAATCTCTATTTACGCAAAAATTGATTCAGAACCCTATAACATAAGCTGAAGTGCTGAACCCCCCCCCCCAAAAAAAAAACTAAACTAAACTAAAGCTAAAGTTGCGTGATTTTGCACTTCTAGTTAAACCTTGTAAACAAGAATGGTGATTGATTTTGCATTACTGGTTTTAATTCAGTCTTGCAGAGTGCTCAGGTTTTTCTTTTTCTTGCAGTAAAACCAAAGACTGCTGATGCAGTTGCACAAGCAGGCTCTCTTCCCCACCCAAGCAGTACACGGTTTCTACAATATGAAGAACTTAAAGAAGCAACAAACAACTTCGCACCTGCAAGCACACTAGGGGAGGGTGGATTCGGCAGAGTCTTCAAGGGTGTTTTAACTGATGGGACAGCTGTAGCGATTAAAAGGCTTATCGGTGGAGGCCCTCAAGGGAATAAAGAGTTTTTAGTTGAAGTTGAAATGCTTAGCAGATTGCATCATCGTAATCTTGTGAAACTTGTAGGTTACTATAGCAGTAGTGACTCTTCGCAAAACCTGCTTTGTTATGAGCTTGTTCCAAATGGAAGCTTAGAAGCTTGGCTCCACGGTAATTTGCCTCTCTAAACTTGAACCAATTGGCAGCTCATTAAATGGTGTTATCCTTTCTTCTTTGTGTGACTTTTAATATGTAGTACTGACTTCGATCCCGTTTTGCTTCAGGCCCCTTGGGAGTAAATTGTCCTCTGGACTGGGACACCAGAATGAAGATTGCACTGGATGCTGCAAGAGGACTGGCATACCTGCATGAGGACTCACAGCCATGTGTTATCCACAGAGATTTCAAAGCATCCAATATATTACTCGAGAACAACTTTCATGCTAAAGTTGCTGATTTTGGCCTTGCCAAACAAGCACCCGAAGGCAGAACAAATTACCTGTCTACTCGTGTCATGGGAACATTTGGGTTAGTTTCATGCACGAATCTTATAAATATCGCTCTCCTGTTTCAGTTGACGCTAAGGTAGAATGGGATTGATTTATAGGTATGTTGCTCCTGAGTATGCTATGACCGGACATCTACTGGTAAAAAGTGATGTTTACAGCTATGGAGTCGTACTGCTTGAGTTAATTACTGGAAAGACACCTGTAGATATGTCACAACCATCGGGACAGGAGAACCTGGTCACATGGGTGAGTAATAAGCCTAACTGTTATGAATCACTCGAGTTGCTAGATAACTTTTACAACAAGTTGGCTGTTCCACTTTCAGGGGAGACCGATCCTGAGAGACAAGGATCGTTTGGAGGAGCTAGCTGATCCAAGGCTTGGAGGGAAGTACCCAAAGGAGGATTTCGTACGAGTTTGCACAATTGCAGCTGCTTGTGTTGCTCCAGAGGCTAGCCAAAGGCCAACAATGGGGGAAGTAGTACAGTCTTTAAAAATGGTGCAGCGTGTTACTGAATATCAGGATTCATTGTTAACCTTTTCGAACAACCGACCCAACCAGAGGCAGTCCTCTACTACCTTCGAGTCTGATGAGACATCATCAATGTTCTCCTCCGGTCCTTACTCCGGCCTAAGTGCTTTCAACAATGACAACATCTCAAGAACAGCAGTTCCCTCTGAAGATCTCCATGAAGGTCGATGAACACCGGAAGCTTGTGAAAACCGAATACAACAGTGAGAAAATTTCTTGGTAGGAAATGATGGATTTGGAAGTGTTGTAGATTTTTGTAATCTCTATAGATGGGGCGAATGGGTTCTTCTTGTTACTATTTGTTGTTGTACAACTGTTAAATTTCCCCCTAGTCAGTGGTGGATGAAATTTTGTACATATGCACAATTGTAGCTTTTTTTCCTCATTGGATTTGCATTCAAGGGTTTATATAATTTGTTGGTCAGTGGTCACCAAATATTAATATAAATATATATTACTTTTTCACCTATACTTGAATAATTTAATATTAATATAATTCTAAAAGTTCATTTTTATAAAATTTTATCTGAACACGATACAATATATATATATCTATACCATATCAAAATTTTGAATTGAATTAATAATACGATTAATCAACCCAACTAAGAAGAATGTGAACATGCCAAGTTAAGTACATGATGTCAAATTCGAAATGGTTATTTTCTCGTCTCTTTTATTTCTTCGGATACATTCAATTAAAATTAAAACGATACGTATACTATACTATATTATAATATCGATACTGTTATTTATTTTTCGATTTTGATGATCAAGCTATAATTAGATTTTAACACATGTTATATTTTCCTTATTTCTAGGATCTCATTTTTTTACCGCCATTCTTTTTACAACCGTAAAAAACGGTTAATTAAAACATTTAAAATATAATATGGGATATCAACAAATGTAATCTATTCGGAGTTGTCTCCTCCTACGAAAATGGTAACAAAGGAGTGGTTTGACTGAAATTTAGGGTTACGTTTGTATGACACAAAATAGCACAGAGAATGGTAATTGCATGAAAATCCCACGCCATAAAAGGCACGTAAAACACCGTCCTCTTTTGTCTCTCGCAAAATATTCGAAGTATTAACTTCAAAGAGAAGATGGAGATCAAACATTTCGTCCTCATCATCTCCATCTTCTATATCTTGCAAGGCTCTTCTTCTAGCAGACCTCATACGCCCACTTCTAATAATAGCAACAAGCCCGCAGCTCCAAACGTAGGTTCGTCGATTCCCGCTGCGCCGGATGAGAGTACGACAACCCCCGATTCACCAGATGCCGGTGAAGAATCACCCGACGCCGGTGAAGAATCACCCGAATCACCGTACGCCAGTAATGATAATTCGCCACTCGAACCAGCATCGGGCCCGTCTGCGCAATTCTCCTTTGCTTCAATGCCCGCTAGCAATCCCCCTGGGCTGGACAAAATCTGCCAAGCCACCAAGCTGCCCGTCGATTGCACGAAATTCATCTCCCCATTCGTAAACAGTAGTGTCAAGATCGAGCCTCTCAGCATCGCGAAGGTGGGGATTCGAGTGTCGACCGACATGTCGAAGCAAGCAATCGACACGGCCACCAGGTTCATGGATGATCCGAAATCGTCGGCAAGCCTTAAAGAGGCCATGTCCACATGCCTGGAGAACTACCAAAGCATTCCCGACGACAACGACCTTGCGCTCCAAGCTCTGGACAAACGCAACGCCAACGAGGCTGCAATCAAGCTAAGCTCTAGCCTGGCCAGCGTGGATACATGTCTCGATGGCAACCATCAAATGCACATTACGTCGCCGATGAGGGACATGGAAGAAGAGCTTCAGAGACTACTTCACATCACCCTAACCATTGTTTCCGATATGGTAAAATTTTAGTCGAACGAAACGCCCACTAATGGTCTGAGGAAAAATTATCAAAGAAATATAGGCGTCAAGATTAGACTTTTGGTCGTGGGAAAATGTTTCTTCGTTACTCTGTTAATCTGAAAGTATTATATTTCTGCTTTTGAAGATCAATCTTTTACGATGTGTATCGTGTGATTATGAATATAATTATCAATGAGCAAAATATATCATCTTTTAATTTTATTTTCAAATTTTCTACAACAAATCGAATTCAATTATCATTCTCTTTTACGAAAAAAAAATTGTACTTGTGTTGTCCATGAAATTTTACATAAGCGATGCATACATGCCACCTTATTAATACAAACATAAAGTTTAAAAATATCTTTAATTTTTATAAAAGAACATCTATATTTTTTAATTTAATTTAAATTTAAGTTAATATTACATATAAAAAATGACCATCCAGCTCAGTTGGTAGAGCACAAGGCTAGGGCATTTCATAATTCGGAGGTTTCCAACGGAAGTTGCTCTCAACCGGGCGTTGGGGACAGCCTACTATCCTACCTCCCCCTTACCCCATTACATATGAGAATAAGGGCCAGCTAATTTAATTTAAAAAAAATACATATCAATTGAATATCCACGTAATATTAAAAAAATATTATAATGTTATTTTTATCATTTTATGTTATATATAATCTTCAAAAGTACCACGAGTTTTACTACTTAATCAAAGTTTCAAATTTAAAATCTTGAAAAATATAAGAACATTACATCTTTAGGAAGTAAGTTATATTGTAATCGAACTCGTATGAATAGTATTAATCAATATTTACAAAATGATATTTATAATTATTGATAATTTAAAACGATTTAGATAGAATAAACTATTTATTTGATCATTCTACTGTCAGTTTCTATTTGTTTTGAGAATTTAATTATAAATATTTTTTATTCTAATATTAAACTTCGAAATTCATTTATTTAGAACCACCTAAAACTACTGAAATTTTAAAAAATTTCAGTGATGTAAGAGTATTTTTCTTTAAAATCCGAACTATATATTAAATTAAAAAAGAAAGAAAATATGACATTTTAGTACTTATTAGGTCACTCTAATATAGAAAATCATTCTTCTAAAAAAATAATACAGAAAATCAGCTCAAATTGTTGCCTTTTTTATTAAATAATTATTCCATCTATTAAACAAATCGGCTCAAATTAGTCGATTTATTATTAAATAGATTAAATTATTCATTTTAATAGTAAAAAATAATCGAATATGATTAATTAACAGTGATAATTTTACTATTTTAAAAAGTATTTATTATTTAACAAAATTAAAATTTCTAAGATTTATATAGTTCTGTAAATAAAATATTTTGTTTGAAGTTGAAACCTAATTAAAAATATAAGTTTCATTTCGTTTTTAAGAAAAGATTGTTAATTATATTAAAATTTAGCATTATTTAATTCTTTATATTAGTACAGAGTCATGATTAAATTGATTCATTTAATAGTAAATAGACTAATTTGGATAGGTCTTTATAATAGAGGTATCTTCCACGTAATTTCACCATTAAAACTAGTTCCACTTCGGTTATCGTTCCCGAAGCCCATCGCCGCCCCTAAGCCCTAAAATTCGAGACAAATGAAACCCCAAAGTACACTCCTATTCATTTTCTGAAACAAATGTTTTGGATTTTGTTTTAAATCCAGTTCAGAATTTCAGACAGGTAAAAAAAAGGTAGATAAAAATGTCGCACACATGCGTTTCCATTTCATCGGTCTCATCTCTTCGGTTGAGTTCTCTGTTATTCTCCCCAAATTCAAGCACCAATCTTGAATCTCATAAGCTGTCTCTTCCTTTCCATCCTCTTCATCCCAGGTATTTCTTTTGTTGTTCTTGCTCGTTCTTTAACTTATCCAAACTAGGAGGCCGTAAGAACAATGTATATTATAATCTTTGTTTTTTGAATTAATCATTTAATTTGATAAGATTATTTAAAACCTATGTTTTTATTTTTAATGTTGGTTTGATTAGGGGTTTTGTGGGATGAATTCATTTTCTGATGTTTGTTTCTCTGAATTTCCCCTAATTCAGGAAATTGAAGAAGCTAGTTAGTAATCAAAATAATGTAATTGGTTTTCAGCCAAAGGCTGTTTACAATGGAGAATTTTGGCCTCCAGAGACGAGCTCTCGACAGGGAATTTGGTCTATTAGGTACAATCTCGTTTAAACTACAACACTATGTTGTTGTTAGTTTGATAAAAGAATGTTATAAAAGATTAGAGGTATTGTTTTGTGACAATGCAGGGATGATTTGAAACTGCCTTCGTCACCTTACATTCCTACGTATGCACAAGGGCAGGGGCCACCGCCGATGGTGCAGGAGCGTTTTCAGAGTGTTGTCAGCCAACTTTTTCAACATGTATGGATTTAGTTTTGGTTGTGCATTTTGGACTTCATGAGTGTTCGGTTTCTCCCTTATCAGTTCTTGTACCTGCTGTTGTTGTTTTGATTTTAGAGAATAGTTCGCTGTGGTGGAGCTGTCGATGATGATATGGCTAACATTATTGTAGCTCAGCTTCTGTATCTTGATGCTGTCGATACTCAGAAGGTCTGTTCTGTTCCATCCTTTCTTTCTTTCAGTAATACACACCTTGATATTTTTTCCTTGAAGAAATTAGGACCCGGAATGCTATTATGAATGTTATTCATTGCTTGTGCTTTTCTGGATATTTTCAATAGGACATTGTCATGTACGTCAACTCTCCTGGAGGATCGGTTACAGCCGGTAATATATTTCTCTACCCAGTATCTTGTCTTGCTACTTGTACTGATTTGTGTCAAATAGCATGTTGGGGGACAACTTTCATGACTTGTCTAGCTTGTATGGCTTTGAATTGTCTTAGGTATGGCAATATTCGACACCATGAGGCATATCCGACCTGATGTCTCAACTGTGTGCGTTGGACTTGCTGCTAGGTATAAATTTATTGATTTAATTGTTTCTATTTGTAGTGCAATTACATTGTCATGTCACAACGTGGAATATCGGAAATAAGAATTGTTGCGGCAAATGTCATGTTTGTGTTTGTCTCTTAATTAAGGAATATTGATCTTAACTTCGATACTTAAATTATGGTATTTGATTCATTCCGAATTTCTGACAGATATTTGGTCTTTGATGATAATATTTCTTAATATATATCTTATATGCCCGGATGGGTTGTATTCCTTCAGGTTAATGGATATGTGTAATATATATTTGATTGCAAATGCAATTTTTTGTTATTGTTAATGGATATATTTTGCTTTTCCGTGAACAGCATGGGAGCTTTTCTGCTTAGTGCGGGAACGAAAGGTATATAGTAGTGTTGTGTCATTCGTAGCTCCGTTGATTGGTGTGTTATCACTCCAGTCTACTAAAATTGTGTATCCCCTTTGTTTTCTTCAAAATTTCAGGAAAGCGATACAGTTTACCTAATTCAAGGATAATGATACATCAGCCTCTTGGTGGAGCTCAAGGAGGTCAAACTGATATCGATATCCAGGTATTCACTTTTTCTCGGCAAACCTTATGCTGTTTAAATTTTGAACTTCCGCATTCCTTTTCCTCTGTATCCCTGACTATTAAATGCGATTGTCAGGCAAATGAAATGCTACATCATAAGGCGAACTTAAATGGGTATCTTGCTTACCACACTGGTCAAAGTTTGGAGCGGATTAACCAGGATACCGATCGTGATTTTTTCATGAGCTCAAAAGAAGCGAAAGAATATGGACTTATTGATGGTGTCATCATGAATCCTCTTAAAGCTCTTCAGCCGCTAGCTCCTGCAGCTGATAGTAATGAATAGCCTGGTCGTCCTCCAGGTACTTTTACAATCAATGGCATGGCTATACTGTAGGGAAAACTGGAAATGTTTATTCAATTTTTTGGTTTTCTCTTCGAATACAATATAATCTTGAGATGAATTTTGATGTCGATTCATATACCGATATTGAACCAAAGCTTCCTTGTGGATTTCATGCACTCCCAATTTGTTTGAAATAACTGAATTATGAACTGAAAACGCCATGATTGAATGGTAAAGGACACTGTGAATATGGCAAAAAAGTGTAAACATGGCTCCTGGTCGGGTGACTCAAGGTTGATGTCAGGTTTCTGACAGCTATCACACTGGAGTACAGGTTGTCACACGGACAGTGATCAACAATGGGAAGTTGATAGTTCCAAAGATAACTAAAATACCACTTTTCTTTCTTAGCCTTACATGATCACCCACCAACAAACTCCGGTCTTTGTTTTTCACCGTTATAACTGCAGCGTTTTGATAGGTTCAGTAAAAACAGATGAAGTTAGGCCAACAATCATTGAAATAATGCGAATGGACAAGGTAAAACTCAAATGACACTCCTGTCTGTAAACATGGGTGTATCGAGCAAAGCACTCTCTCGTGAATCTCATGGCCTCAATTTTAGTTGGGGTAAATTATACTAATAGTTATTGAACTTTTAGGGTGCTATCACTTTGATTGTCGAAATCAAAAGGCTTTCATTGGAGTCATTGTAGCTATGAATTTTTTTTTTATTTTAGTCACTTGACCGTCAAGTCATTAACGATAGTTGACAAATTTTGTTGTCATTTAGTGGTTTTCTTATTGAAAAAACATCAAATTTATTATTTGCTTTCTTTCTTCCGGTTTAAATACATCGAAAACCCTTTAATCCCTGCAAATCTATATAAAATTTTAGAATTAAAACTTTTCAATCCCTTAATGTCAATTCTTGAATCAATTTAAAATCAAATAACGTTAATCTTTTGATCAAATAGAGCTTTTTCATAGTTAGAATTTACTGATGATTATTCCGTTCATTGAAAACTTGGTCTTTTTGTGACGGTTGTCAATTTGAAATCATAGAAATTTTTTAGGAAAGAAAAATTTAACTTGCCATACCAATTGATGTCCGTTCAATTTTTTAGTGATTATAATACATGTTTTAAATTTTTAATGACCAAAATGACAGAATAGAAGTTCAGTGATCGTCAGTGTAGTTTACCCATCTTATTAATTCTTAAATGTTGAAAGGAGCTGCTCACCCAACAAGAAAAGCAGCGCCTCTGGTGGCATCAATCAAAGAGCCCCTCTTTTCTCTATCCGTTGTCATTTGCTAGTTTTTACCGTTCTTGCAATAAAGCATTTTTCATCCCTATCTCCCACATCGATAAGAAACGACACCATTTGCACAAACTTTCCATGCCACACTGATCCAGCTTTCTCATTTTGTGAACCCACATACGAAAAAGAAATACAAGAAAATGACAGTAGGTGGAGGCATAATCCCTTGCAATATGAACATCTAAATTTACATGTCTTCTATAAACACTTGGATCAAGAAGGGACAACAGGAACCCCTTCATCGAAAAACTTGCTTCTCATGGAACTAGTGAAAGCTGAACATATGGGCAGTTCTTCAAGCTCGTCAAAGAAATCATTTTCCTCTGATTTCGGTGTTGAAGGTAATGCCTTTATTCGAGAACAAGAAGAGAGTGGCTCATCATATAACAGAAACGTTCCCTCTAGATTCCCAGTGAAAGGATCTTCTTGGTTGATTATAGTGTTTTTGGGAAACTTTAATGGGGATTTTAGGTAGTGGAAAGGCTCCTCTTCACTTGCATCTTCATCACTGCTTGTTTTGATGGGTAATCCATTCTTCACTTCTTCTTGTGAAACTTCAGGTTGATGATGCTTTCGATCCTCGCCGCTGTCGTTGGGTTCGGGTTCTTTCGGTGACTGTGTTCGGTTTTTGGTGTTGAGATCAGGACCTGGATGGTTGTGAGTAGAAGTGTAAGTGATGATGAGCATTGAAGCATCCGTTTTGCATCTCTCGACTTGCTTTTTGGCTGAACATCCTTTTGATGTGCTGCACTTGTAATAACCCCTACATGATCAAACATGGAACATGAAGGAAACCGAACAAATACGAACATGAAGAGAAAAAACACATCATCAGAAGACAAACAACCTCGGATAAGGAGACCCTTTGATGGGTTTTTGCCCATATTTCCTCCAACACCATAAATCAGAAGGCGGCCCTTCATTCTTTACCTTTCCACCATTTTCTCCTATTTTCACGGTCACAACAGTCCTCTCGACAACAGCCTTCCTGGTAATCAAAACATGACCAAAATTTAGAAATATCGGAAACTGAAGTTAAATGCATGTAAGTGCAGCTTAAACTAACCTCCTTTTGGATGCCGGAGTTTCAGTTGGTTTGAGCTCTGCCTCTGATTCTTCCTTTGAATCCAATTTTGGAGAGACAGAGGTCACAGAACCGTCCATTAACTCTGATCTTATCCCTTTCTTGCCACTTCTTTAATATAAAGTTATGAGCAATATGCATTAAAATCACCACTCACCACTCACCATCCCTCTCCACACCCACCGTGCAATAAAGTAAAAGCCATTATCAACACACACTGCTGCTGTTGCCGCATATTAATAAATATGTGCAGATGTTTCAACGACAAGCACATTGCCGGCCCCATCCTCCACTTCATTGGTTTGGGCCGATTTCTGTGCCCAAAACATAATTCCCACTCGCCACTTGGATATTTGCCAGTTAATTTAGATTTCGAAGTAATCCTTAATTTTAAAATATATTCTAATCAATTCTTCAAAGTATTTATATAGTATCAATCCATTTTTTCATTGGTCTAACATCAAATGCTAGTTCATAAAAGTAACCCTACAAAATTTTAATGACATTCTCTGGTTTTTTTTCCTTAAAACTTTGAAATCAAATTATCCATATAATAGATAATAGTATACGTGTCTAAAATATTATTAATGTGTTTTAAATATATTTTATGTTAGATTTGAATTAATATTTTCTTTATTCTACGATGTATTGTTTATGATTATGTTTCTGTTTACGTCTCTCTCTCGTGCTTTTCAGCTATATACTTGTCACTTAGTTTTACCTTAATTGCCAATGAGTACAGAGTAATCTAATATAATATTTGCATTGAATTCAGATTCAACATTATTTTTGGATCGTCGCCCTCGTCCGTGATGTGGAAATAATCACCAACATTATCATTATCTCATCGTCCTTTTCGCCAATTGTAATAACCACAATATTTTTACATGCGATCTGTTTTCAACCAGCTGGCCGGACATATTGCCCCCATCGAAATATCGCTATCCCACCCTATTCTATTTTCCTTTATATTTATTTATTACTGCCATCTTTGTAAAATGCCAAGACTTTGATACACCCAAAAACCTTTTGGTCTAATTATGTACAAGCTTCCTGATTTATGAATATTTTACGGATCCAGTCCTTTTAGCATAATCTGTACTTTTCATATATGTTTTCAATCCTAAAGCTATTTTTTCCCGTTAATCTTGTCAAACAATTTGGTATTAACTTTTTAAAACATATGGTGACGCGGTAAATACTAATGTAAGCAAATGTTTAAGTTGACCGATTTGGTGGGGGAGTTTACATGTAACCTACTTTGTTGACCCTATCTTACAACAACCAAAAAATGTGTTTGGAATAATCAAAAGTAGAAGACTTAAAGAGAATTAAACTATAGTAAAAAGACTGAATCCGTTAAAAATTATAATATAGGGACCTTCTAGGCAATTTGACAGAGCTTTTTTGCGGTTCATAGTGATTAGTACAGCTAGATGCTTTCCTGAATGTAAGCTTTGATGAAAAGTTTCAGTAATTCTAAGATGGAGAGCGGCTTATTCTCTTTCAATTCAACGTTCGAATTCAATGGAATCCTAGGAAATTGCATCCATCTTCACGATTTCGAGAAAGATGCTGTTGCAATAGAAGGCAAACATTTGTTTGGAAACCAGGAAAATCCTGTTTTTGCTGAGCATGGTTTGTTTCAAGAGAACGTAACAAAGATGACACATGATCGACAACTGGGACGAGAAACCAAGTATGATTTTTCCGACGAATTCGATTTCAACTCTGTTTTCTCAACTAATACCGCATTCGAAGAATTTCCTAGGCCAGAAAATCCGAAGGCCACGCCGTCTTCGTTTCAGTTGTCGTCTCTGGAACTCCTTAGTAACTATGGAAAAAGTTTCAAGAAACTGAGATCGATCAACTATGGGGGCAATGGTGATGAAGGCAATGAACGTGGCCGCAAGAAGCTTTCGACCGAGGAAATTATGAGGGTAGCTGGAACAAGATATGTACAGTTTTCGGACATGAGGTACGATGATTTCTTCATGGTTACGCATCCATTCGGTCACGCTCTTTCAGGTTTGTCAGATGACGAGACGAAAGACGTTGAGCTCGTGCACCTTCTTCTAACGGCGGCGGAGAAAGTAGGGTACGAACAATTCGAACGTGCTAGCAGATTGCTTTCTCGTTGCGAGTGGATCGCGTCCCAGCAAGCTAATCCGGTCCAGAGAATTGTCTACTATTTCGCCGAAGCTCTTCGAGAGAGGATTGATAAAGCAACAGGAAGGTTTGTATCGAAGGAATCGGAACCGGGATTTAAGAGCCGAACCGAAAACGGGCTGAGTACTAGCATCACAACGGTCAGAAGTCACCAATACATACCATTTTTCCAAGTAACGCAATTTGCTGGAATACAAGCCATTATAGAGAACGTGGAGTCTGCCAGTAAGATTCATGTAATCGACCTTCAACTCAGGAGTGGCATTCAATGGACTGGCCTGATGCAAGCTCTGGCTGACAATAAATCGCACCGTGTCGAGCTTTTTAAGATTACGGCCGTTGGATTATTCGGCGATGAGACGATATTGGAGTCCGGAAAGAGGTTGGAAAGTGTCGCTGCATCGTTTAATTTACCCTTTTCGTTCAGTGCGGTTTATGTTCGAGACATGGAAGACATCAAGGAAGAGTTATTCAAAGTCCAAAGCGACGAATCTTTAGCCGTTTTCTGTCCATTGGTGCTTAGAACAATGATTTCAAGGCCTGGGTGCTTGGAAAATTTGATGCGGGTGATGAAAAATTTGAACCCTGCCATACTAGTCGTCATCGAAATCGAAGCCAACCACAATTCTCCGTCGTTCGTGAGTCGATTCATCGAAACGTTGTTCTTTTACAGTGCCTTTTTCGACTGCCTCGATATGTGCCTGGAACATGAAGCTGAGTTGAGAACGGAGATCGAATCCATGCTTTGGTGTGGGATCCGGAACACAGTGGCCATGGAAGGCAAAGAGAGGATCGTCAGAAATGTGAAGATGGAAGTGTGGTCGGCATTCTTTAAGAGGTTTAGAATGGTGGAATTGGGGTTCAGCAACTCGTCCTTGTACCAAGCTAATTTGGTGATCAAACAGTTTCCTCACGGTAGTTGTTGCACGCTCGAACATATCGGGAAGAGCGTGATCGTCGGATGGAAGGGAACTCCGATGCAATCGATTTCGGCCTGGAAATTCTCGAGAGATAGAGGGAGGGTATTCGGAAACTATACGTTCTGAAATCCGAAATTGTTGCTATTTTTTTACATTGTAACTTTATTGAGTTTAAAGTTCATAATAACTCCTACATTTCATATGTGTTTATGTCCATTGGTTGAAGGATATAAAAATATAATGATACATCTTAATTTTTACTTTTAATTTTTTTTAATAAATTCTAAATCTAATATTAATTATATCTCAAGGGAAAGAAGGAAAGTTCTAGAAAAATGAAGGGAAGTGCTCTTAATAGATATAGAACTCATGACTTAAGAGAATCCGAGGCCAATTAAATAGACTTGCTCAAAATTTAAATTTATTAAATATTAGTCTATATGATTTTTTTAAGAGAAAATAACCTCAGTGACAAAAAATACCTTATAATATACGATTTTAACCAACTTTTTTTGGATTTGCCAAAATGACCAACTAAATCGCAATGCGATCTTCGGTATCGCAAATCAGTTTTCATATTCGCAACTCGAACTTCGACTATCGCAATGCGATTTACATATTGGCATTGCGATAGTACAAGTTCGCGTTGCGATAGTCGAAGTTCGCGTTGCGATTTTCCAAATTCGTTGCGATAGTCCAAGTTCGCGTTGCGATTTTGGAATAAATCGCAACGCGAACTTGGACTATCGCAACGAACTTGGAATAAATCGTAACGCGAACTTGGACTATCGCAACGAATTTGGAATAAATCGCAACGCGAACTTCGACTATCGCAACGAATTTGGAAAATCGCAACACGAACTTCGACTATCGCAATGCGAATATGTAAATCGTAATGCGATAGTCGAAGTTCGCGTTGCGAATCTGGAAACTGATTTGCGATACCGGAGATCGCGTTGCGAATTATCGATCGCATTGAGATTTAGTTGATCATTTTGGCAAATCCAAAAAAAGTTGATTAAAATCATATATTATAATACATTTTTTGTCACTGAGGTTATTTTCTCTTTTTTTAATAGTTTAGAGTGATTACAAGGTATTATAGGTCTTTAATTTTTTAACCTATCAATAATGTATACATTCTACTGACGTAATTGCGTAAATTCGAGTCCTCTAAAGAAGAACATTGTTTTTTTGCCATAGATTTGAATCTCAGGTCCTCTAATTTAATCTTTTATGTTTTTTTCAATCAATCATATGACTATAAGTCATCATTATATGAAAACACATTTCATTAATGGATTTTTAGAGAAAATTAACCATGTGTGACTAAAATCAAAATTAGACATAGTTTTGATGACTTTTTTTATTTTCAGTGATCAAAATAAAAACATTTTATAATTGAATGATCATTTATATAGTTGACCCTTTTATATTTTGTATAGGCAAGATATAACTTAGGCCTTAAGCTATAGCCCGTTGAGATTCCTCGGGCTTAAATTAAGGTATATAAACAAATGGTTGAGCCCATGATACTCAAAATGAACTGAGTAAACAGTAAAGGCCACGTAACAACAACACACACGTGTCGGCTCTTTGCTTTGCTTCTTTACTTTTTTTATTTCTTCAGATTCTTCACTCCGGAATGACTAGGGAGTCGCAGAGCAAACCACCAATTCAGCCAACAATGGTCTCCAAAGGGAGTGACTCTTCCTCTAAATCTAGAGTTAGAATCTCTCTTCCTATCCTTTTGATCTTCAATTTTTCCCTTTTGATTTATTCGTTTGATTTCAATATTTTCGCTATCATAAAAAACTGGTTATTAGTTGCGTAATTCACTGTATCATTTAAACATAAAATTTAAATGTTTTTCAATTCGTGTTTTGGTCCTTAGAGTATAAACGATAACTTAGACTTGAAAATCCTCTGAATATGATCCGCGAAAGAAATCGTTTGGTTTTTCCGAGGCAGAGCTTTCTTTCAACTCCATTGCCATTCGCTGCCGGTTATGCTCTGTTTGGCTCCTGTTGAATTATATTGAAACAGAAAATAGAAAGAAAAAATGGGAATTGAGTTTTTTTTTCTCTTTCAAATTTCCGTTTTAGCTTACTCGTCAACGTTTTGTTTCGTTATTATTTTATTGATATGGCAGAAATCACAAGGAGAACACTCTGGTGGCGGCGTAGGAAACTTGGCACATAAGTTAAATCAGCTTAAAAGACAAATTCAAGCGGAGAGAACAGCTTCGGTAAAGGTAGATTAGTTATATTAGTGACTAAATATTTCATTTATTATTATTATTCATATTTGTTCTTGAATTTGAATAGCGTTATCATTTTTAGAAATGACATGAAATCTAACTTTTTTTCTGTCAATGCGTGCAAATTCCTTGGGTAACTCTTTACTCTGTTATATTCGAATTGTCTAAGTTGAATTTATTTGTGCACCAACCTACTAGATAAGATGCAAACAAATTATATTTCTATCGTGTGGTGTGCACAGGAAAAAATCGAGAAGAACAGAAAGAAGCTTGAGAGTCATGTTATGGAGATTTTGTCAGCTACATCGAGTAGGAATGTTCCATGTGTGGAGGAGATTGGATTTGGTAAAATGCTTTCTGCAAGAATCCAAATTCCACTATGTAAGCTTGCTGGATTTGTTCAAGGGACGACAGGAGGAGACTATGCTAATGGTCATGAAGTTGTATCTTCGACGAGTGTCAAGCTTCCGTATGTGGAGAAGTTACCGCCATATACGACATGGATATTTCTGGACAAGTATGTTAGATTAGTATATTAGTCTGCCTAGTTTTGGGTGTTCTATTCTGTCTGTTTATGTACACTGTGCTTCTGCTTTGACTTGGTAGGCCATTAGAGACCACTTGATCTGAATAGCTTTAGCCATTAGGTCATGGGCTAGCCATGCTACTTAAGTCTTCTCCAGTTGAGGATTATAATTTGGGGAGCTTTCTTGAAAGGGCTGTGTTGGCACCAAGCTATTAGCAAAAGCTAGCCCCCCCCAAGGTTTTGTTACTGTTATTTAGTTCAAAGTGCTGATTTCAGCAGCACAAGACTCCACAGATGAAATCTACCACCTTTTCTCAGCTTATCTTGTTTTCCATGAGATTTTATTTTGGCTTGTCTTATCTTAAATATGCACCATTCAGCACAGAAATCAGAGAATGGCTGATGACCAATCTGTTGTTGGAAGAAGACGTATATACTATGACCAACACGGCAGTGAAGCTTTGATCTGTAGTGAGAGTGAGGAAGACATTGCTGATCCCGAGGAAGAAAAACATGAATTTTCTGAGGGTGAAGATCGTCTTTTGTGGTAAGTAAAATAAAATGCAATCTCCATTAATAAATAGAGGAAGTTGTGTTAGATTGCTAAACTTCCTGTGCCTTCTCCTCATCATACTGGTCAGAAGTCAACATCGTCTACAGAAATGCAAGTGGTAGTCATTGTTGATAATCTTTTAATATATGTGGCCTAGGACCTATTACTGTTGTAGCGCATGGCGAGATGTGAGACTGATGTAAAACTAGATGGCAAAAGTGTGTCTGGTTCTTCTGCTGTTTTCTGTTTGTACTGTGTTAGACTCTTCATGCTGGTATTTATTTCAGTATATGTAACTGGCTTTGGGTTTAGTACAGAAGGGACACCCTGTCATCACAAGAAACGTTTATTTGGATTTTTACTGGATAAATTATTTTCTTTTGCACTTTATGGAAGAAAAAAAGTAAGGCTCATTCTTTTCAGATTAACAATTTCAAATTGGTAGGAATGTCTGTCAGGAGTATGGTCTAGGTGAGGAAATATTGAAATCTATCAGCCAGTTTTTGGGAGTCACCATCTCTGAGATCCAGGTATTATGCTATAAGCATGCACACATGGTTGCCTTTGTATGATATTTGGTTTCTTTAATCCTCCCAAGGTTTGTATTTACATACCATTTTTTAAATATTTATTAGTAGCTGTTTTCTATGAGACTTGCAGGATCGGCATGGCTTGCTCAGAGACAAATACAATGACCAAAACATTAAAGATTCTGAGGATTCTGTATCTGAGAAGGGTATATCTTTGGACAAGAGCCTCAGTGTTGCCTTAGATTCTTTTGATAACCTCTTTTGCCGCCGCTGCTTGGTACTATCTCTCACCATCGTTCTTAACGTTATTCATTAAAGAGAAGCATGGGCCTGCTGATATCACTGGCAGCTCTGTCGACATTTTTAACAACCTTTGCTGATCAATTTTTTATGTGTCACAGTTGTTTGATTGCCGTCTCCATGGCTGTTCCCAATCTCTAATTAACCCTGTAAGCAATATGTTTATCGTCTTTCAATTTAATGTGATTTGGTTTCATTAGTTTATCTGATTTGGAACCTATTGCTTGACAGAGTGAAAAGCAACCATATTGGTCTGAATATGAAGACGACAGAAAGCCTTGCAGCGATCAATGTTACCTCCGGGTTTGGTTTTATTATTCTTTTGTGCTAAAACCTTGTATGGTATTGTCTTATGAGTTTATACTGCCAAAATCATTCTTGTTGATAACTTTATGATCTAAAGTTCTCCCTTGTTCTCGAAATATTTGCATTCTTTATTGTTCTCTGGTTCTGTTCCTCGTCCTAGAAACATGGGTTCTGATGCAAAATATATTCATATTTCCATTTTCACAAATAAACCTCCTATACTTGTGTTTATCTGTAGCTCATTCCATTTGTTTGTAGTCTAATTTTTCATTACTTAATGAAGAGAAGTAGATTGTTTTCGCACTTATATGCCTGTGTTGCTAAGACATGTTTGATTTGATATGAATTTGCTCATTTTCATGTCCTTGGAGTACCTTCTTGTTTCTTTTCAAGCGTATAGATTTTGTATTAAGATTTTTATTTGCATCTAAGGTCTTTTATTTTGTCGGGAAGGAGTAAAGTTGTTTTGATTTCAACATCAATTCATGCAGTTAAGAGCTGTCAAAGATGTGACAGAAGGCTCAGGTGTCAAAGCATTGCATGGAGTGAAAACTGCAACTTTAGAAGAGAAAGACCAGGCTGTGTCATCTGATGCCAAAGAGCAAAAGATTATTGGTGATGCAGATCTCATGCAAGATGACAGAGGAGAAGAAAGGCCTGTTGGGTTAGAAGGTATTAATGACTCAGAATGTGCTGATGAAGCTCAAACTTTAGTGATATCTTCCATACCAATGGATAACCATGAAAGTTCTGGAAAGCGCAAAGCCTCCCAAGAACCATTAGATGATCCACTACACTGTTCTGATGGCAGCCAGGATTTTGCAAGTAAGAAACAAAAGACGTTACTGATTTTGGATGTAGCCACAAAGTCTTCTGAAGCTGTTCCAAGTCATGCCAGTGCTGAAAGTAGTAAAAGTAGGAATGAAGATGTTGGCACTCTTAACGAAAATGAAGCTCAAATTACAGACAAAAACAACAAAAATGAATTTGGTGAACGGGGATTGGAAACTTTTACCTGTCCTGCTAGTGCTTCCAAGACCAAGGATAAGATAAGGAATGGAGGTAAAGATGTTACAGATTTGAAGTGGTCATCTTCTGAGTGGAAGCCTATTGAGAGAGAATTGTATTTGAAGGGAGTCGAGATCTTTGGGAGAAACAGGTAGAAGGGATTGGATTTTTTTTCAGTCTTTTGCTTTGCACAAAATGCAAATAGATGTTATGAGTTAAATATAAATACTTTTTTATCATTGGCATTAGTTTCTGCAGTTCTACATATTTAATGGACTAAACTGCAGAAGCTTTCTTAGAGGACTAAAATGTGCAGGGCAAAAAACTCAGTTAAAATTGTGTATCATGTTCATATTTGTATAATTCACCTGCTTTACTCTCTGATTGTGATGAATGTGTCACATTAGACAGTTGTGATTAAAAATCTTTCTTCTCCCTCCTAGGTAACAATATGTCTCTGCTTCTACTAATGCGTGATCCATTATTTACAGTTGCCTAATAGCCAGGAACTTACTATCTGGTTTGAAGACTTGCATAGAGGTATCAAGTTACATGTGTGATGGTGGAGCGTCAACACTTCATAGGTCTATCACGACAAGTTCATTTTTGGAAGAAAATGGGAAATCTGAATCAGATTATATGGTGTGTACCACAACCCTAATTTCTCTCTATTTCCTACTATACAGTCTTTCTTTGATAAGGGGGTGAAAAAGAAACGGTTTCCAGTCCCCAGCATATATGATTCTCTTGAGGCCATTTCTTTAATGCTTCATCTTAAGTTTAAATACTTACAAATTCAGAAAAATGTATTCTTTCCCTCTGAAACTTGTAAATTACAAAGAATGTTTGAGAGTCCCTATACTGAATGGCATTACAATCTGCAATTGCAGTTACATGGCCATTAAGGTTTGGCATAGTTAAATAATGTTAAAAAAGGAAACACATCCTGAAAGTTTTTGAATTAGTCGAGCTTATTCTTTGGAGTGTCTGATTTCCAGGAACAATGGTAAAATATGGCCAAACTTACTACTTTGCTGCATTCTGATTTTCTTCGTATTTAATTATGAAACTTCTAGTTATTCATTATTAATCAATCTCAATCACTTCATTATAGTGAGTGTTGTATTTTTTAAGGATGTATACTTGGTTCTCCATTGTAGACCTTTCTCTTTCCCCTTTACATTGCATTCAAAAACTTGTTCCCTATTAATCTTTCCGTAATTCAGGAGCAAGAGATGTCAACAAGACCACGATTGCTTCGTAGAAGGGGTAGAACGCGGAAGCTTAAATATTCATGGAAATCAGCTGGCCATCCATCAATTTGGAAACGAATTGCAGATGGAAAAAATCAGTCTTGCAAGCAATATACTCCGTGTGGATGCCAGTCGATGTGTGGAAAGCAGTGCCCTTGTCTGCACAATGGAACTTGCTGCGAAAAGTACTGTGGGTAAGTTAAATTGTTTAAACATGCAAATATGAATCATATAGAACCCATGTTATGGGTAAGCAAACCTATATCTCACTGAATCTGAAATATTTGCAATCGACTAGCTGCTTTTGTTATGGATTTGTTTGAATTTTTTTAAATTCTTTTTTGTTATTTGAACCAAAAAATCCTTGAGCCACATCAAGTCCAGAACACTATAAATTCGAAGAATTATGTCCATCCAGATGCTCGAAGAGTTGCAAAAATAGGTTCAGGGGATGCCACTGTGCAAAAAGTCAATGTAGAAGCCGCCAGTGCCCTTGTTTTGCTGCTGGGCGTGAATGTGACCCAGATGTTTGCCGGAATTGTTGGGTTAGGTAAAGTTTTGTGGTTTTATATAACATGTTACAATAATTTTCTTCCAGTATTAAATATTTTTTGTTTGTTCTGCAGTTGTGGTGGGGATTCATTGGGTGAGCCACCAAAACGAGGAGATGGTCAGTGTGGAAACATGAGGCTTCTTCTAAGGCAACAGCAGAGAGTGAGCAAATCAGAATGTTTTAGTTTTAAAATTATGGTTCCGAAAGAGCTCTAACCTTTCGGTTTTGTATTCTTCAGATCCTCTTGGCAAAGTCTGATGTTGCAGGATGGGGAGCATTTCTAAAAGTAATATAGTATTCCACTTTTCTTAATGCAAACCTTTGGGCAGTTAATTGTTTCGTGTTTTCTTCAGCTGTGTTTGAATTCTTATCCGTGAACTTGATGTGGTTCAGAATTCTGTCAACAAAAATGATTATCTTGGAGAATATACCGGTGAATTGATCTCCCACAGAGAAGCAGACAAACGAGGGAAAATATATGATCGTGCAAATTCATCTTTCCTTTTTGACTTGAATGATCAGGCAAGTGGAACCGAAATCCCGCATTTGGCACCGAAGTTTCCTTCGGTTAACAAAAACAACTTTGCTTTTAGTCTAAGAATTCTGCAATCATTCTAATACCGAAAGTACCGTCTTCAAATCTTAGACCTAGATGTATTTATGTTAGCACTGCATCACATCGGCATATATATTCTGAACGAACCTGCTATTTTGTCTTTGCAGTATGTCCTTGACGCTTACCGCAAAGGAGACAAGTTGAAATTCGCAAACCACTCATCTAACCCGAATTGCTATGCCAAGGTATATAACCGCCCCTAATTCTTTTAGGGGCATTTCTTGTTAATTAAGCTAATATCTTTAGCTTGCACAGGTAATGTTGGTGGCTGGGGATCATCGAGTAGGAATTTTTGCCAAGGAACGCATCGAAGCTAGTGAAGAGCTCTTTTATGATTATCGCTATGGTCCAGATCAAGCACCTGCATGGGCTAGGAAACCCGAGGGCTCCAAAAGAGATGAAACATCAGCCTCTCAAGGTAGAGCAAAGAAACACCAGTCTCATTGAAGCACCGTTACGTCGACCGGTTTAACACGTCCTCTATCTTCAGATATTAACTATCATCGCCTTCAGAGAAGGCATCATTGTATGTGCATAGTAAGTTGCATAAGTCACTCCTAAAGGTAGAAATAATTGCTTTGGGAGCAAGCTAGGTATGATGCATTAGTGCTAGAAAGCATGCTATTATTATAGAAATAATAGAAGTTCCAAATTGGTTGACTCTGTTAATACGTATTGAATACAGTTGTACTGCTACGTATAATCTCAATCGCATTTCGAAGGGGTTGCTACCAAAAGTACATTGTGCATGCTAATTTACAACATTACGAGCTGAATGAATTGAAAGAATGTGCAAGTTAAGGATAGCAATCGAAATTTTTAGCGGTATTTGGATTTCTGTTTCAACTGGAAATGGAAAAACAAAATTTCATTCCATGTATCTGGGACACCAGGAAGGCACCAATGGCTGCAATCTTGAATACTTGAAGAGTAACGAGTTCCGGGTTTTTTCCCATATATTGATGGATGACCGTCAATCCTATATGCGGATAAACCAGTTACATTCAGTAATGTTACTGGAGTTTTCATCTGCAAAATCACATCCTCCACAATTCTATTCTTCTCAGGGTATTCCATGCCTGAAGTGTCATTAAGGGGCCAAGTGGTTTCCATACAATGACCGCCTGAATTCCACTGTCCTCCCCTGTTTAATGATCGGAGCCAAGTCAGTAAAACCGATAAAGGTAGATGATTTCTTTTTGTTTTCAGGTCAGCCGATCTGAGATGTTAAAAGGGGAAGCATAAAACACGAGCAAACCTGAAATGGGATGGTGCCGAATTTCGAAAGAAAACCTGGGTTCTGCCCGGATTAATGTGTCTATCAACCCATGCTGCCCAAGTCATCAAAGCTTTTCGAAAAGCTACGGAAACATCAAGCTTGGGATGTACTTGATTCCCTTCCTGATAATAGTTGATCCTAAAATATGAAAAGTTTCCAGTAAACACCAAAACATTGTTACAAAAAGCATATAAAAGATTCAGCTCACTATCACGACATTGTCATCCTAGTTCTCAAAGGGCAGCTTTTACCATTGAGACCAAGGTTGAATTCTCTAGATCACACAGTTAAACAACGATCATATTAACAACTTTAGGGTATATGGCAAAAGTGTTTCTCCCGAAGAACTGTAGTTCGACAATGGCACTAACCCGGCTTTTGTTTTGTAATGAGACCACCAATGTGCAGTGTTGAAGACCAAAATATCAGCTCCTTTCCATCTAGATGAACCGTGATCGATGGCGTTGATTCGCAATGTGGGCCTCCGTTTTTGCCCTATTCTTGCCTTGCTTTCATGAACCAGAAAATGAGAAACATAGTACTCAACTGTACACTTGTGATCCTGCAGAAACAAGTGACAACTTCAGAAAAACAAACTAACCCAAACTCTAACATAAAGTGAAATAAAGAGCAAATGAACTTTAAACAATCAATTACCACAAATTTGAAGCTATAATTCCCTTTTTCTTTGGTGATTCTTCTTCCATGAGTTTCATAGACCTTCTTTGGATCTTTTACAGCTGCCATTAACATACAAAGCATGGATTCCCATTGGTTTCTATTAATTGAATCCCCAACAAAGACCAGTCTTTTCCCTCGGATCAAATCAAGCATTTTTGCTGCATTGAACCTAAAACAGATGAAGAACCAGTCTTTTACCACATCAATTGCTATAATTTGCATATCAAAGAGAAATACATAGTAAACCAAAACTCACCTAGGAAAATAACAATCTTGTGGTTGCCATTTCCACTTCATGTAGTTCCTATCTCGTCTTCCATTGGTGTCACAGCTAAAACCTTCATCAATGAAAGGACAGGATCCATTTGTGTAGAGTGGGTAGCTCTCATCATAAACCCACTTCCCCTTTGTTAAATCACAGCTTTTCATCACCTTCTTCTCAATTTCCCCATTACTCGGAGGGGCTTTAAATTTATCGACAGAAGCCACTTCTTTTTTCTTTGGAAGTTCAAATTTGTCAAACTGGATTTGCTCTCACTTCATCTCCCTCAGTTGTTTCATTGGTTTCAACTTCAATGTCTTCCATTGAAGGTGCAGGTGCTTCCTCTGATTCAGTTTCACTATCACCATCTTCTAGTACTTCACCTAGATTTTCTTGTATCTGGATCTGCTTGAAAACTGAGAAATTTCCAGACCCAGATTCATTTTCGGATTTCAAAAAATGGGTATCTTTTGAATGCTTCGCTGAACTATTGCTACTGAAGCTACTCAAGCTCTCTACGGTTATAGGTTTATGGCCACCCAGATTGAAAACTGAATAATTGAACTGAAAATGGGTATCCTGGTGAATTGAAGGGTTGGATTTGAGGACCCAAGTAAACAAGGAAACCAGGAAGATTAAAGAAGAAGATATTGTGAAAGCAAACAATAAGAATCGAGTGGATGTGGAGGAGAAACTTCTCTGTCTCTCCATCAACGAAATTCGCCAGTAAAATGCTTCAAAATACAGAAAAAAGAATTTTTTTTTTTTTCAATGGGATTTGGTAGAGGAAATTTATCACTTATCCATGTTCTGTGAAGATGAGGGTAAAAGCACGATTTTTTCGAGAAAAGACAACAAAGGAACTGGGTGTTTAGTTACCGAAAACCTGCCTCAGTTGAAAAACCAAACATATTTCAACTGATAATAAAACATAAACTCCACTCTTGGACACGACGCCGCGCCATATGGACATAGCTGGCGACACCCATATTGCCAATATATAGTCGCTCGTTGGCAATGTTGGGTTCAATGGGTTAGCTGGAGTTTAAAGAAAATACAAAATTCCTTTGACAAAGCTACCCAACATGCTGAATCCATGGATTAAGGTTGCTAAGCATTCTTTCCTTTTTTGTCTCTCAAGTCTAGTCTAAAGTGTTGTCATTAATAAATACATTATCTCAATTTCCTTCTACGTAAATTACATATTTAATCATCCAACTATCATTTTAATTTTATTTTAATCACCCAATAATTTTTTTCAAACGGTACATTTTAGTTTCATTGGTCACCCGCTGTTAAATAATTAACATAACTACTAACATAACATTACCTTATATTTTATGGCAACATGCCAACATCACCATTAAATTTTTATCATAGATGGTTAAAAAAATTAAAATATTAATTGAATAAAATTGAATTATTATAAATATGTTTTATTAGATCTACATCCATATTGATCATATTATATTATCTTTGAAAGAACAAATAAAAGCTACAGGTTTTTAAACCCTAATTTAGAGTTCCAACTTTCAAACTCGTTTTCAGCCTCGTTTCTTGAAATTTGCTGCTGTTTTTTCTTCTTAACCACGTCAATATACGTATGTGAAACTTTTTTATTTCAGGTAACAATGGAGATAAACACTATAAACAACATGCATACTGGACTTATTGCCCAAGCATCTAAATCATTTTCGGAACAATCGACCAAAGTTAAAAAGAGTAATAAAAATGTCATCGTAACTTGCCTCGGTTTGCTTTCGACCCCCACAATACTAGATTTCTGAATTTCATGCTTCGTAAACTAAACTATGGCTAACTTGTTTTGATAAACTAACAATGAGAGTTGCGTGGTTTTAGATCACATAAGCTGTGTGCCCTGTGCTTTGACGTCCAAACCAAATGCCACTATGGGGTTGCAGTAATATATGATGTCGGTAGTAACCATCTATTGCAGCGTTTGCAGTCTCGGTACCAAACATCATCCGTCCAATTTAAGTCCCCGGGCCAAAGCTCAGGAGCGTTATCTACAATGTACAAACACGTAATCAGCTAGAGTCATTTTGTTGGTGAATCTGTTGATCAATTAACCATAGTAAAAAGGAAGACGCGGAAAGAACAGAAGAATTATTAAGTTATGCCACATTAATGACCTTTGCTTGGAATGGAGCTGCCCACTTCTGAAATCATCTGCCAGCTCTGCACCACCTCCTCCACTGGCAGCAACTGCTTTGTTTTCAGAATCTGTAACTTCCTTGCCCTCTCCATCTTTGCTTGCATCAGTATCTGTACTCACTTCAGAAGTGTTTGGCACACAATGCTTTTGAAGCCATCTATCAGTTTCCCAGAGGACATGCATGATGCTTTCTCTAGCAGCATAGCCATGGCTCTCGTAGGGTAGAATGACAAGGCGGCAAAGAGCTCCATGACCCTTCAGAGCATTGAAGAAACGATCCGACTGGCATCGTATGGATTTGCCCAACAAGCAGGCAAGCAAACAAATAACGAATAAATTTATGATTAATCAAACTGCTTAAAAGTGTCCAGGGTCTAGAAAGAAGCGTAAACAGGCTCTGCATTTCTGCCATGATGAAGGGAGCCAAATAGCGGATGGAGAGAGCTATCTAACATTGCATAATTCAATAAATACATAATTGGGGAGTAAATAAACTTTATTACTGAATTATTCCATGGGCGATTGATAAATCTGGAGAACATTAAACAAGGGGCACATACGAGGGTGTGGAAAGCCATATATATACCTGCATGGTTAGTGTTCCAGGGTTGTTGTCTTCTTCTCCATGGATAAGCAAGATAGGCTTCTTGATTTTATTTGCAGACATGAATGGGCTCATCTCTACATAGGTATTAGTTGCCTCCCAAAGTGTTCTATCCTCATTCTGCACCAATAAGATATAGGAAGCCATAAATCCATCGGAAGAGAAATGAAGAGAGACAAAATGATAGAAAAAGGCATTGCATTAAATATACTTAATTTCTGCAGTTCAATACCTGAAAACCAAAAGGTGTAAGGGTTCTGTTGTAAGCTCCAGAACGAGCAATCCCACAAGAGAAAAGGTGAGGAGCATGTGCTAGAAGGTTTGCGGTCATGAATGCTCCATAGGAATGTCCCCCTACAGCAATTTTGTTAGGATGAGCTACCTGAACACATGCAGCATCAGAAAAACTCTAGTCAGAAATCATAATCAGCATGCTGCAACTCGGAGATGATATACATGGGAGAGAAGATACGCACTCCACGTCGGATAACTTCCTCAACAGCTGCCTCTGCACTTGAAACCAGTTGCTCTACATACCTACAAAGATAGTGATATGATGGGATACGCATACATACACGAACTTGCATATTTATTATACATGTAGTTGTTTTACCTATCATTGGCTTCTTCATTCCCTTCACCAACTATTGGGATTGTTGGCCCAGATAAGATAGCAAATCTGCAAAATGGAAAATAAGAGTGGCCATAATTTAGTCTAGTGGCACCCAGATGAAAAGGAAAAAAACAATGGAGGGGAAAGTAAAAATACATAACGAATATATAGCAATATGAAAAGAACAATTTCATGCCTTCTAGCAAGCCAAAGGAGAGCTGATGTTGGACCTATGCCTGCAAACTCATTAGGAGAACCGCGAACTTGTCCAGCTGCATCTTTGCTTTTAAATTCCCCTGGGTAAGACCAAACCAGACATGGAAGAGGCCCATCTTTTGATGGATCATACCCTGGTGGCAAGTACAATGTTGCAGTAAGTTGAACCCCATCCTTCCTATGGTACCTAATCATCTCTTTCTGCAATGATGCCAACTGTGGATATGGATGAGGGAAGTCTGTGATCTGACATGATTTCCTATCTGGCCAACTTTGAATGTAATATTGGGAATTCTCTGTTTTCGACTCTTTAGAAGTAAGAATCTTCAGGTCATTAAGGTGGATATCCCCTTCTTTCTGATCTGACATCAAAGCAACAACACTCTCATAATACTTTTCTTTGTCACTCTCCCATATTCGTTCTTTACTGCCAGTATTTCTGGAAGAATTTGAGAGATCAGAATGCCATCAATAGACCCCACAACATGAACACGCAAAAAAAAAAGCTAATTCTAAACACTTACATGTCAAACAAATCAAGGAAGGGGATGTTCCCCTCTGGTGTAGCACCATTTCCATTCAGCAAAACATAAGTTCCGTCATCATTTTCTTTCCTTAGCTTAGCTATCACATAAGTCCCAGCAGGAGTTCTCCTCAGCATTGGAGAACCAGGATCAGAGTACACATCCTCAGATGACCTATCAAAGAGTATGCGTGGACTCACATCTTTTGATCCAGGAGATATAACCCAGGTTCTTATTCGACGTGTCTTGTACCATGACTCATAGACCAGAGCCAGTGAATCATCACACCACGAAATCCCTCTGTCAAAATGAAGAATCATAAACATTAGATTAGATCATTAAAACTTCACTCGGATTTCAAACAAAAGAGTAGCTGGCCATTGGTTTCTGCAGTCTGCATGATATTTGAAATTTATTTCCAGCAAACACAACTTGATGAACTACTCAACACTTAATAAGCTGATCAATCCTTGCCATCAACCATAGAGTAAAGATGATGTATACATTGCAGTTATGTCACATAGATGCATGTTAAGAAAAACCTTAATCCCAACATTCACTGGAGAGTGGAGAACCTCAAAGATCTCCCTGTGAGGGAGTGAAATGAACGCCAAAGGATGGTGGTCAAACATAGATTCGTTAGTAGCGATTCAGTTCAGTACATCCCTCAATGCATCTATTACAAATCTAGACTCAATTTTAGAATTCCTATACTTTGATGATATAGTTTTGATATCAGCAAGCAGTCGCACAAAATTCACATCCTATAGGTTTTGAGACACCATTGTAAATACATTAAAATTGAAAGGCCAGATATACACATCAATTTAAATCAATACAAAGAAACCTACAAAGATAAATTTTGAAAAAAATAACATATAAACCTACCCATAGCGAAGATCAAGTTTGTGTAATATTTCTGGCTGTTCACCTTCATGTAGCTCTGCAGCCTGTGTGTAGATTATATCACGTGGCGAAACTTCTACTTTTGCATCACCTTCATCTTGCGTCTCTGCCCTAAAAACTTTAACAGAGTCAGGGAACAAGAATTACATACAGAAACTTCACGATAAAAAGCTTACATTATATTTTATCACTGAAGGAAGGGGTTACATCAAACCGATTCACGTTGATTACACAATTCCATCAAGCATATTTAAAGCTTTCATTATTTCACGAAAGCCTAGTACTCACTTTACAAAATACTTAAAAGACTGACCATTTATAGTCCCATCTAATTACAGTCCATTTCTTCTTTGCAAATGCATAAGCTGGCAAATAATACCAATACATACCAGTATAAAGTTGAAGGCTTATCTGCTCTCCAATTGATTGACCTCATCCCTTTTCGCACACTATTGAATGCAATAGGAATGTTCTCTGCAAGGGGCAAGTCGCAGAGCTCTCTAACAAATTTCCCATCAGCTGTCCACACATCCACTTTCTTGGGGAACCTTCCACACGGTACAATAAAGGAATACGGCCTATGAATCGAACTAACCAAAATGTACTTCTCATCAGGGGAAGGATCCATAGATGTGTAAACGGACGGTGAACCAACCTCCTTCACCTTGCCATCCAGGGACACCAAAACAAGTTGAGAAGTGGCATAGTAATCAAATAAATCCTCATCATATTCATCCTTCAGCAAATCCTGGTACGTTCTAACTTGAACGACAGATTTCTGCTCATTGGATTGAATCTTCGGGCCAGAAGGAACCAAAGGTTTCTTTGGTGGGTCTCCACGAGACAAAGGAATAGTACAAACCAAAAGGGTCGAGTTATCCAGCCAAATATAATTATCAAACACTGCATTGAGATAAATATCCTGTGACTGAAACAGCGGCCTAGCTGTTCCAGTCTCAACGTCAGCAACCCACAGTCTAAGCTTACTAGAACTACTCTCCTCTTCCTCAAAACGAACACTGAAGGCCAAATGTTTACCATCATTTGACCAACTGACAAAATTAATCTTAGCACCATCAGAGAGTCCAGTAACCTCTTTCTCAGGTCCCAACGAGCCATCAAGCATCAGTTGATGGATTCCGATGCCAGTGTAGAAAGACATCCGGCTCCTGGTGTTGCATTTCCCATCAATTCGAATGCCAGCAAGCTTTTCCTCAGGTCTCGCTAGTTCCACCAGAGGAGGCAAAGATCTCCGCTTGAGAAACAGAATTTTATCCCTCAATGGCGAAAATGAAATCGCGGGAAGCGGCGGAGCGTCAACTATATCTCGAATTTCCGGAGGCGGAACACGATACTTAACTCCGATTGCAACATTCTCTAAATCAAATTCAGAATTGAAACTTTTTTAAGTAACTAACTTGAAACTGAAATTTAAAAAAATATATTGATCAACAACAAAAATCAAAATTTCAGCAATAAAAGAAGCTAAATTCCCGGAAAAGCAACAAAAAAAGTACCATCGTCTTCTTCAGTGAAAGTAACGGAAGCATTTGCGGAACCATTGCCAGCGGTGCTGCTGTCTTCAGCGAGAGCCGAGTTGACAGGGAGGAGTGGATTGAATCGGGAGACGGGCATTGCCGGATTGAAGAGGTTTCTAGAGTGAGTTCTCAGATGGCCAGGTGAGCGGATGGAGGAGGGAGGGAATCGGGCGTTGCCGAGAGAAAAAGGATGGAGGAGACAACAAGAAGGGTATGGAGAGAGGCGATGATAAACTTTGTATATTCGCATCATTTTCTTTATTTTTGATGCGACTAAAACTTGAAGTTCCCTTCCCACTTATATTTTTAAAGTAAAAAATAATAATAATAAAATTAAAGTTGCAGTTCTTCATCAGAGTTTGTTATATACTGCTGTAGTGTACTCTTTTTTATCTAAAATAACCCATATTTATTATTTAAAAATATAACTTTATAAAAATAAATTAAACACAAATTAAACCCAATTTGATAAAACCAATATTACAATTCAAATTGATTTTACAATTTGTTTTTCAATTTCTTCAACTAACCCATATTTCTCATTGGAATTTCCTGGTATTTCTCGCCGACCAATATGATGCCCGAAAAAAAAAACAGGAAAAGAAAAATGAAAATACGACACGATATCACTGTCCCTGAAGCCATATCACTTTGCTCGGTGGAGATATTTTGGTGTTACGCTTCTCAAGGATATTTCAATCCTTCACGACTGTCGTGAGATTCTAATGATTTTACATCCAAGGAGAAAGGAACATATATATATATTAGTTTGGGATAAATACACAATATTATTTATTTAAATATTTTTAATTATTTGATATTAGATATTTATACAGCCTTATATATATATAGTGTTCGAACCCGATATTTTAAAATATAATAATTTCTTAACTATTAAAATATTCATTCTGATTATATATATATCTCGTAATTTTGAAGAATATAAATTATATTAGTAGAATAAATGGCAACATTCTGATCATATAGTGCTGCAACTTCGCAAGCAATCGAGACGCGTGTATCTCTAATATTCCTACGAGTGGTTAATAAATATTCCCACAAAATGTTAAGAAAAACAAATAGATATTCCCGTAAAATATCTCCATTTTCTCCATCTTATTGGTCCCAAGATGATAAGAAATTTGTGTTCCCTAAGCATTACATTACAGTTTCCTATTAAATACCTTACTGTTATATTTACATCTCCGTCGAAACTAAACATTGCACGCATTCGAACACAGCGAACCACACCAACAAGTAGCAATGGCAACCTTGGCTAGTGTTAACCTCGTAACCCCGAGAGTCGTCGTCGTAGCCAACATGCCAGAGTTCGCAAAGGGTGGCGCCGTCAAGGTCCCGTGTCTTAACCAGCCTTGGAAAAGGGTCTCCCAGTTGGGGTCTAGAGGACTGCGGGTAACCAGGAGAGCCGCACCTGATAGGATATCGGACAAGGTGGAAAAGAGCATCAAGGAAGCGCAGGAGGCATGCTCGGATGACCCGGCGAGCGGCGAGTGCGTGGCGGCTTGGGACGAGGTGGAAGAGCTAAGTGCGGCAGCTAGCCATGCCAGGGACAAGAAGAAAGATGATGATCCTTTGGAGAATTACTGCAAAGAGAACCCGGAGACGGATGAGTGTCGCACTTATGATAATTGAAATGTTTGTTTAGTTTTATTTTGATGATGGAATTGTTTATTTATCGGTGGTTTCACTTGTTATAATGATGTAATCTTAATACCATACATTATGAAAAAGAGAAGAAAATATATATTAAATAAGTTTTATATTTATTTTTGTCTGAATCGGTGCATTATTGCTCTTGGGGAGTTATTGTTCATGTTCATGACTACTCCTATCTTGAGTTTCCCTTACTGGTTTATTGTGCCGATTCGGGTAGCTTTGGCTCTCGAGTTTAGAAAAATTGTCGCTGGTCTTCTCGCTTGTTGACAAGGTTTTGCTTGGCGTATCGACGTAGGTTTGTCTAAAGGTTCCTTGCTGCTTTTATATTTAACACTCGTATTGGTGTTGGGGTCTTGTGTCTTTTTGACCCATTTTTCTGGTTTTATATCAATATTAAGTTGGTTAAGAGTATGTATATTTTAATATATTTAGAATATATATTGAAAATGTAAGTTGATTAATTAATTTGACTGATTGATATTAAATTGGCGCGATTAATTAAGATCATAAAGATTAATTGATTAATTTAGTGATTAATTAATTTGATTAAATATATCTTGATAATCTACTCATCTCTTTATAGAAAATGAATCTAAAATTCGATACCCAATTCATCAGATATAATCATGAAAACACTAAATTATGAGTATAAATTTTCAAGAATGCTTTTAAACTCTTAAAAAAAACTTGTTAGGACAGAATAGATATATCTTAATGTGGTTATATATAATTTTTAAAAGATTTTGATCTAAATTTATGTATAGATGTAAATTATATTGTTCAAACGTGAATATAGAAAGAAATATTATTTTTTAATTATTAAAATCATTTCAAGAATGAATCTAACTTAAATTTTAATTATCGGTTATTCGGGTTTGATTAAATGAAATTTGATATATAATTATTATTTCGGTCATAATTAGATTTAACTGTGTTTTTATTTTTGAATTATTTTTAGTTGTTTTACACTTTTAATGTATTTCAATTTAATTGTTTTAAACTTCTAGTATAATTGATCTTGTTAAAACTATAGATAAATTTACTCTTAGACAAGCAGTATTATCCGTTTATTCTCTATAAATAAAAAATAAAGAATAAGTTTTTTTTTCTTTTGGGTACAAGGGAATAGGGTTTTGTAATGTAACAAATTTTATATTTTTCGAGATAGTTGAATTTTTTGTTTCTCTGTCCATGATTTTTTCTTTTAGTTTTTTCACGTAAATCTTGTATTTTTTTTGGTTGATCTTATTTATTTATCGTTAATCATTACACGATAATCATAACAAGTCTAATTAAATTAATCGAATTGTCGGATTAGACTAATTTAATTAGTCAATACCTTAATTGTGTTTGCTAATGAAAATCTAATTAATTAATCGAATTATTGGATTGAACATCCCAGTTGTTGTACAATATACCTGACTTAAAGACGCACCATGAGATCAATCAACCACTCTTCTTTTTCTGGATTTTTTCGATGACTTTCATCAGTTCATTGGACTTCAAAGGTTTAACCAAGTGAACATCCATCCCAGCTTCCATTGCCTCCTCGCCCGATGTATGAGCAGTTAACGCGTTGATCAGGAGGCGAATGCCGTATTTTTCCTCGGTTCTAATCCTCCGGGTCGCTTCGTAGTCGTTCATCGGTAACATCTATCGGAAAAGCCACACTAAAACAAGATCAAAGCTCATTAGTTTCATCAAGCATTGGTGGAGCTCAAGCCACCAGGCATCAAAATTTAATGCAGTTGTGGGAAATCATATACATTACCTGACAGTCCATTAATATATAGTCATAAGGAAGACCATTTCTCTGATTTTTTAAGACCATTGCAAACTAGTTCTACAACCTCATTTCCATTTTACAAAGTTCTCAACATCAACACCAAGCTGTCTAACAGCAAATGAAGATAAAAGAGACAAAATTTACGTGGAAAACCCCTAAATAATATAGGGTAAAAACCACGGGCAACGGTAGAAGAATTTCACTATGAGAAAATAGGAATTACAACCTCTCTTGATCTACCAAGGAGAAAACAATGAAAATTCTCTCTTGATAAAAAGGAGAAAACAACTCTCAAGAAACTCTCTAAATTCTCTCTAGTATTGGAAGAAAGCTAGAATGTTTTAGGATGGTTTTGAAGCTAAATGAGGTAGGGTATTTATAGTTGAAGCCTTAAGGACTAATCTTGTAAATACCCTAAATTGTAATGACTAAATTTGTCATTTACCCATTACATAAATTCAAAATTTGGTGGCCAAATTTTGACCACATTTTCCGTCCAATTATGCTGCCATTTTCAATGCACCGAAAGTGCAAAGACTTTCAACAATCTCCCACTTGAATATTTGATTTGGAACATTCATATCTTCACACCATTCTTTCTACCTTGTACCATCATGTTGCTTACGTCTCTGACAGGCCACAAAAGGATCGACACCAGGTAAATTTATCAGCATTGATCGCCTTCATCATGAAATCTGCTATGTTATCTTTGGTATGGATCTTCTGCATATCTACTGTCCCTTCTTCCACCTTGTCACGAATGAAATGGTACTGAACTCGTATGTGTTTTATCCTTGAATGAAATGCTGGATTCCTTGCTAGATGTAAGGCGCTTTGACTGTCACAAAACAGAGAGACATACTCTTGATTGTGCCCAAGCTCCTCCAATAGCATCTTCAACCAAATTGTTTCTTTACTGGCTTGTGTAGCTGCTACATATTCTGCTTCTGTTGTTGACGTAGCCACAATTAACTGCAATTTTGAAACCCAACTTACAGCTCCACCAGCAACTTTGAACAAATATCATGTAGTAGATTTGCTTTTATCCAAATCCCCTGCATAGTCAGAATCTACATACCCATTGATTAGTAAGTTTGATCCTCCGTAACATAATGCAATATTTGAGGTCCCTTTGATGTATCTTATAGTAAGTTTGATCCTCCGTAACATAATGCAATATTTGAGGTCCCTTTGATGTATCTTAGGATCCTCTTTACTGTATTCCAATGTTCTTTGCCTGGATTCTCCATGTACCGACTAACCACTCCCACTGCTTGTGAAATGTCTGGTCTTGTGCATATCATAGCGAACATTAAACTTCTCACTGTTGATGCATACAGTACTCGAGACATCTCCATCCTCTCTTCTTTACTGCTAGGACTCATACTGAAGGATAATTTGAAGTTAATAGGAAGAGGGGTAGAAATTGGCTTACAATCTTGCATGTTGAATCTTGACAAGATCTTCTTCAAGTAATTCTTTTGTGAAAGCCAAATCTTCCTATTACTTCTGTCTCGGTGAATTTGCATCCCTAGAATCTTGTTTGTTGATCCCAAGTCCTTCATTTCAAATTCCCTAGCTAGTTGTGCCTTCAATTCTTCAATATGATCTTTGTTGGGTCCTGCAACCAACATGTCATCCACATACAACAGCAAAATAACAAAATCATTATCACCAGACCTCTTGAAATAAGCACAAGGTTCTGCATTAAGTCTGTTGTATCCAAGACATATAATGAAAGAATCAAATCTCTTATACCAACACCTCGGCGCCTGCTTTAGACTGTACAAAGATTTGTTCAACTTGCAAACCAAGTTCTTCTTTTCTTTTTCTTCAAAACCTTCAGGCTGGAGCATATAAATTTCTTCTTCAAGATTTCCATGAAGAAAAGTTGTTTTAACATCTAGCTGCTCTAGATGTAAGTCCAATGTAGCACACATTTCCAAAACTACTCGAACTGTTGTTAGTCAAACCACAGGAGAAAATATTTCATTGAAATCAATACCTTCTTTTTGAGCATATCCTTTGACCACCAGTCTTGCACGATATCTCTCAACTTGATCGTCACCATTTCGCTTGATTTTGAAGACCCATTTGTTACCAATTGGCTTTCTTCCTTGTGGTAGTGGCACAAAGTCCCATGTATTATTTTTATGAAGGGCTTCAATTTCTTCTTTCATCGCCATCATCCATAGTGAAGCATCTGAGTTATTTATTGCCTCCTGGTATGTTGATGGCTCACCGTCCTCTGTTAAAAGGCAGTATGCAATATTTCCTTCTATAACATAATCTGAGTGCCAATTGGGACGTCTTCTCACACGATCTGATTAACGAGTTGTTGGAGCTTCAGAACTCTCTGGTTCTTGTTCATCATGTGCTGGTTCTACTTTAGAAGAATCTCCTCCTTGTTCAAACTCTTTTTCCACATGTATCTGAGTAGTCTATGACTTTTCAGCGTTATCATCATCTTCATCGTCTTCTTTTCTTTGTAGTTTATCTTCTACAAAGATAACATCTCTACTGATGATCACTTTGCGGGCAGTGGGATCCCACAAGCGATACCCCTTTACTCCATCAGCATACCCCAAGAATTTGCATTTCCTGGATTTTAGATCCAACTTTGAAATTTATTGGGAGTTGTACATCACGTACACTATACTTCCAAATACATGGAGGTTTGAATAATCAGCTGGTTTTCCAGTCCACATCTCCATTGGTGTCTTCAGCTCTATTGCAGTTGATGGAGCTTGATTCACCAAATAACAGGCGGTATTGACTGCTTCTTCCCTTAATGATTTTTCTAGGCCTACATCCCTCAACATTGCTCTTGTTCTTTCTAACAAGGTTCTGTTCATCCGCTCTGCTACTCCATTTTATTGAGGAGTGTTCGTCAATATGAACTGTCTTTTGATGCCTTATTTTCTGCAAAAGTCATCAAATTCTTCGCTTGTGTATTCTCCTCCATTATCTGTTCTGAAACACTTGATCTTATTTCCAGAATCAAGTTCCACCCGCGCTTTGAAGTTTTTGAAAGTTGAAAACACATCTGACTTCTTCTTAATAGGGTACACCCAGCATCTCCTAGAGTAGTCATCAATAAATGAGACAAAGTATTTTGCTCCGCCTAGGGATGTAACCGGTGCTTGCCATACGTCAGAGTGAACCAATTCTAGAACACTTTTGCCTCTAGAATTTGACGTGTTGAATTTCAACCGGTGCTGCTTACTTGTTATGCAATGCTCACACAAGGTAAGTGATACCTTTGTTAAGCCTGGAAGTAGGTTTTGC